CTACTGTATTTGAATATAATTTTTTATTAAATGCTTCCAATTTTAAAAAATTTTTATGCTTGTTCATTTTTGATTTTTCTAGAATAGTAAAATCCTAAGAATTTAGAGTGCCTTTTTGGCCCTCTCGGTCTTTTAGTGTACGGTTTTTTTATTAACCGGTCTTTTAATACCTTTTAGCCTTTCCGGTCTTTTAGTGTACCGGTCTTTTATTAGTTGGTCTTTTATTATTATCTTTTTAGCCTTCCAGTCTTTTAGTTACCTTAACACCTTTTTGACCATAACGGTCTTTTAGTGTACCCGTTCTTTTGTATAGGATTTGTATAAAACGTTCACATTAAAAGACCGGAAAGGCTAAAAAGATATTAAAAGACAAGGTAATAAAAAGACCGGTTCATTAAAAGACCGGAAAGGCTAAAAAATATTAAAAGACCGGGTAATAAAAAGACCGGTTCATTAAAAGACCGGAAAGGCTAAAAAACATTAAAAGACCGGGTAATAAAAAGACCGGTTCATTAAAAGACCGGAAAGGCTAAAAAACATTAAAAGACCGGGTAATAAAAAGACCGGTTCATTAAAAGACCGGAAAGGCTAAAAAACATTAAAAGACCGGGTAATAAAAAGACCGGTTCATTAAAAGACCGGAAAGGCTAAAAAACATTAAAAGACCGGGTAATAAAAAGACCGGTTTATTAAAAGACCGGAAAGGCTAAAAAACATTAAAAGACCGGGTAATAAAAAGACCGGTTCATTAAAAAACCAGAAAGGCTAAAAGGTCTGTACTCCCAAAATGTCCGAGTCTAAATACACAATCCATCGAACTGTACATTAGAATCCGGAGAAATATTCTGTACACTAAATTCTTAGGATTTTACTATTCTAGAAAAATCAAAAATGAACAAGCATAAAAATTTTTTAAAATTGGAAGCATTTAATGAAAAATTATATTCAAATACAGTAGTTTCATACTCTCTGAATTCAGCACTGAACCGACCTAAACATTTGATATTTATTTTTTTTCTCTAGCTACACTATTTCTTTTATAGAATTTCTCTAACTCTTGGGATAAAGTGTCATTTATTTTTAGCATTACATCCCAAATTCTCAACTACCTCAAACATTTTCTTTCTCTACTTGCTACATTCTACCTTACTTTATAAAGGAGTAAGAGTAGTACTCAATACAAAAAGGAATACAAGAGTCTGATAACATGAGAAATGGTCTCTTTGGAATTTGATGAGGGTATAAGACCGTTAAATCCTTCTAGAAATCGATTTAAATTTAAAGTCCTCGATACGGGTACACGACTAATAGGCGCGGCCGAATAGGCGCGGACGAATAGGCGCCATTTTTTCGGCGCAGCATGTTTTCGGCGTCGAGGGAAAAAATTTAAATATACAAATAATAGCTCATTTGCATGAGTTAGACGAGCCGAATCGATGATACCGAAACCAGCTTGACTCGAAATTATGCATAAACTTATGACCAACAGAATCTTCGCTGGAAAAACTGTTTTTGTGCTGCTAGGGAGGGTAGGCCGGGCATGGTCTTCGCTACACGATGGCCGTGCTTCGCTGCGGTCGTGCTCGCTGCGCTCGCGGCGACCGTAGCGAAGCGGCGGCCGTCGTTCCGCTCGACATGCCCGGCTTCCTCCGCAGCGGCAAAAACTTTTTTCCGCGTAAATTTATGTGTTTATGCGTTTTTGCCTTAAACGCCGAAAATAGGCTGCGCCGAAAAAATGGCGCCTATTCGTCCGCGCCTATTCGTCCTGCTCCGCTCGATACATAAAATTTAATGAAAAACGGTAATTCAACAACAACAAATTCATTTTTATTTATGCAAACAGATAAAATTTAGTTAAAAACAAGCGAAATTTAAATGTTAATTGTATAGTCAAAATTAAATTTGAAAATAAACCGTCAATTTTTCTTCATTTTTGAGAAATGTCGAAGATTTTTAGGTTAATTCGACTACATCTAATTAAAAACAAAAAAAAATTTGAAAAAAACTATGTTTTCGTCACCATATTCGTTCATAAATCCAATTTTTTCTTTTATGCCAACACTTGCTTCTTTTATAATTCCATCGCTTCTTCAAAGAAACAAAAAGGCCAGGAATTTGTTGTTGAAGTTGATGACGAGGCTTGTGTAGTACTAAAAAGAAAATTAAGAAAACTAATGGAAAAATAGGAAAGAATGCCTAAAAGTCGGAAAGGATAAGTCGAAAAGGGGAAGCTTAACAAAATACCGATAGACCAAAAGTGAAAAAAATGTCTAAAAAGGAATAATGGACAGTAACGAAAAACTGGAGAATGTTGTGACACAGGGTTTATGGTGGCACACACGATTTTGATGAGGTGTTATTCGAAAGAGCTTGGCGAGCTGATTCGATAGCTCGGGGGAAGAGGCCGAACGGACGTTTAGGGGACCGAGTTCAGTTTCCAAATTTCAAGGGGGGGGGGCTATAGCCCTAGAAGCTCCCTGGCTACCAAGGGCGTATCCAGGGGGGGCTGGGGGGGGCTAGAGCCCCCCCCCCCCCCGAAATGGGGAAAGGGGGAAAAAATTAGGAGAAGGATGATCGAAAAAGTGAAATTTTTTCGCCTACAACCCTCAAATTTAAAAAAATTTTCGCCTGCGGCGCAAAAAATGGAAGAAATCTGGCTTCTTGAGCTCCAAAATCCTCAAAATTTTCGCCTGCGGCGCTAAAAAGTGAACTTTTTTGGCCTACGGCCCTCCAAATTCAAAAAATTTTCGCCTGCGGCGCTAAAAAGTGAACTTTTTTGGCATACGGCCCTCCAAATTCAAAAAATTTTCGCCTGCGGCGCTGAATAAGTGAATTTTTTGCCTACGGCCTTCTAAAATTCAAAAAATTTTCGCCTGCGACGCAGAAAAGATGAAAATTTATGTACAAAAAAAATTTGCGTCCGGAACGCCAAGGCAAACGCCAAAAATTTTTGCGCCCACCCAGTGTTAGCCTCCCCCCGAAACCGGCCCCCTGGATACGCCCTTGCTGGCTACGCCCTTGACTTATTGGATGGCCCTAACCATTTATCCCATATCGACTCATGTCAGCTCGACGAGCTTTTTCTAATGACTTGTAATTTGTCGAAATCGGATAGACAAACAAAAACCTCCCTACAAGTCACAATCCCAAGGGAAGCAACCGGACGGAGATTTAAACACCCATAACAGAGATTCTTTAAATTAGTAAGCTCCAAAAGGGACAGAACTTGAAAAATATAAACAATTATGGAAACCTAATAATCAACCCAATAAATTAATTTGCAAACCTAATTTTCTGAATTCTAAAAGATTGCGGCTCTTCAGTCATCTTTTCTGTTGATTGTTGTTCTTCTAAAGCATACTCATCAATAGATTGCCTTCCCGCAACAATTCACCGGTCTAAAAAATAATCTTGAAACCATAGAAATAATTAAAAAATAACCTCTTTAAAAATTTTTACAGCTTCTGGATACTTTGTCAAAGCTGAAAATTAAGTAATTAAAAATCCTTTAGACATAAAAACAACCTATAAAAAGATCAACCATTCAAAACAAGCAAATCAATGCATCTAACCAATGGAACATTTGCTGTACGTCTTCTCGTTTGACAAAAACTTGGCACCATTCAATTGGCTTTAACATTGAGAAAGGATAAACTTATTTAGAGGAGAAAACTTGCGGACAAAACTTGCGAATTTAATAAAGTAAAAACGCTAACCATGTAGACGAGAGCATTGGAGTTTAATCGTTGAAGTGAAGATCGCCCAGCTATCTCCTAAGAGAAACTGGTGCTTTTTTGCCCGGCTATCTCCTAAGAGAAACTGGTGCTTTTTTGCCCGGCTATCTCCTAAGAGAAACTGGTGCTTTTTTGCCCGGCTATCTCCTAAGAGAAACTGGTGCTTTTTTGCCCTGCTATCTCCGGAGAAACTGGTGCTTTTTTGCCCTGCTATCTCCTAAGAGAAACTGGTGCTTTTTTGCCCTGCTATCTCCGGAGAAACTGGTGCTTTTTTGCCCTGCTATCTCCGGAGAAACTGGTGCTTTTTTGCCCTGCTATCTCCTAAGAGAAACTGGTGCTTTTTTGCCCTGCTATCTCCGGAGAAACTGGTGCTTTTTTGCCCTGCTATCTCCTAAGAGAAACTGGTGCTTTTTTGCCCTGCTATCTCCGGAGAAACTGGTGCTTTTTTGCCCTGCTATCTCCGGAGAAACTGGTGCTTTTTGTTGTTGCTGCTGCTGTTGTTGTAGCTGCTGTTGTTGCTGATGCTGTTGTTACTGCTGCTGCTGCTAAAAATTGGATACATTTTTCAAAAATTGAAAAAAGCAAGTCTTGTCCGCAAGTCATTACTCCTCCCCACCCCTCAAAAAGGTTAACCCCAAAAAAGGAAAAGCCACGCTCCAAGTTGTAGAACATCTTTGCTATAAATGGCAACAGAGAACACTAGACGAGCCATTAAAAATCGATTATTGATTTTTGGGATGAAGTGTCATTTATTCTTTATTGTTTGCATTATGCCAAATATCGCAGATTTTTGAATTCTGAAACAAATATTTAAAAATATAGCGGTCTCAAAACCACTTTATGGATTTCTAGTTTCTAATCGGAAATTTAAATTTAAAATAAAAAAATAAAAGATAGAGCAAGAATGTCAACAAATTGAGTCTCTATACACCGACATTGTTTTAGCCGTTTTAGAGTCAAAGACACCATTGTAAAAATACTGTCCAAAACGGTTAAGTAACAACACAGAAAAAACATGTAATGGTCAGAGAAATGCATTTTCACTACTCTACCGTGGGAAGAATTAATTCTTTTTCTCTAACCAGTACATGCCTTTGCATGTCTAAACAATGGCCGCTGAAAAAATCAATAAATGTAAAAAGAGTGCGGGAAATAAAGAGACATTAAACAGTTAAAGTTTGAGGTCAGTTCAGTGCGAAATATTCAGCTTAGTGCGACAGATCGACTGTATTGAAGATACGTACTAAGATTCTGTCTCTTAAATACGTGTATACATATTCTTTTTATTTTACAGATCTTTAAGTGATCTGATGAGAGAAGATAAAAGTGACCGCAATTCCAAAAGGAGTCGAGATCCTCAACTTTCTGAACGAGACAGAAAAACGGCTGTTCGACGCTCGTCCTCCAGAACTCGTGAATTACGTAGTAAGCAAACGTCGCGTCATGAGGATGAACGGTTTGATTTTATTTTTATGTTTATTTATGTTTAAACAATTTTTAGCAAACGGGCAATAAGTGGCAGAGGTGAAAAAGAAACTGGCCGCGATAGCACACGCAACAGACAAGATGGTAGACGGAAACGAAGCCCAAGTCCCAATATGGCATCTACTCGTGGTGGAAGAACGCGTGTTGATAACAATGGACGTTCTAAGGTTGTATGATTTTACTTTTGAGTTCACTTTGAAAATTAAAAATTCTAGCGTGACGCTCCTGAGGCTAAGAGGGAGCGAAAAGAAGCTGAAAAAGATCTGGTTCGAGGTACAGATTCGTCACAATTTGCTTTTGGTGGTAATGAAGTTCAGCAATATGATAGTGCAATAGCAAATGGAGGGTTTGGTAGTATTGACTTTCAATCGGGCTTTGCAAATTCGGGGTTTTCAAATACAAATTTCGCGGATTCAGGATTTCGTAAAAATGTTGGAATGGATGAATTTAACCGTGGTGGCAATCAATGTAAGCGTTTTTTACAGATTCATATATTGTTATTTTTTAGCCAAGCCCAGGATACTTGCTCCAAATAATGGTGGAAGAGAAGGCAATAAAGAAATTCCTGCAGATGCTCCCAAGTTTACTGTCAACGAACTTTCCGCAGAATCCATTAAACGAGGTTTTTATTTTTGAGGCTTCATCTAAAAATGAGTAGTTCCTACTAATTGTAAGGTTGTTCACGGTCGGTTAACCGAACCGAAAACCGGTATTTTTGCGAATTGGAAACCAAAACCAGGGGGTCTATGGCACTGAACAGCCTTATTTTCTGCCCTCCACTTAATTTCATTTAATATTTTAACAAGTTTATTTTTCAGAACATACGCAGAAAGGCGCAAATCAAAGAGTATGGACCTTATCTTTTTAAATCTTAATTCTCTTCCAATGATTTCTATCTACAGCGATTTTTACCTAATCATGGCACTTTTGGAATGAAACGTCAATATGCTGGTATAAGAAGCGCCGCTACATTTACTGGGTCAGTTCATACACTCCCCTCATCGGAACAAACGAGCTGCTGAATTTTTTTACTATTTTTACGGCGTATTTTTTGCTACTTAATTCATTTGTAGTGCACCGAGAATGCAACAACAAAAACATGGTCGGATGTTTGGTAATTTTATTTTTTTAGTTTAAAATTAAAAATAATATTAGATGGTTCCAATCCTACTGCTAGAACTATTCAACCTACTGAAAAGGCGGAAAGAAGCAAATCCGAAACTGAACAGGCTCCTGTGCCTCGTGGAAGGAATTACTTCATTGTATGTTTAAATGGAAATTATTGAAGTATTTCATTTAATACTTTAGCATGATCATCGTGATACAGCGTTTGTCAATCAACGCAATCAAAACAATATTCGCTTTGGACAACAAGGTTTGACTTATTAATGGGACCGTCCAAAACATGCAAGGTTGGGAGTTGGAGTCCCTTTTCATGGTACGTCCTCAAAATGCTGAGGAAAGGACAAGAAAAAGGAAAGGATCTCCAGCTCTAAACTTGCATGTTTTGGACAGCCTTGTTAAAATATTATTTTAATTTTTTAGGAAGAGGAAGACCAGCTCCAACTGGATGGCGTAATTTTGGTGATAGAGAAGGAAATGTTGACGAGGTTAGGATTTTTAAATATTTCATAAATACATTTATTATAAATTTAGGCTAGTTTTGCAATTCAAAGTTATGGGAGAGGTGGTGGGGGTGTCGGAGCGCCAACTCGTGGAGGCTTTGCCAAAGGAGGTTTTGGCAATTGGCGTTCCAAGGCTGATGAAGATTTAATATGGAAACATGACAAATATGTAGAGGTATCGCAAGACGAAGCCAACACAAAATTGGAATTGGTGGATGAAGTTGGTATTGAACCACAAGAAGAAATCTTTAATAAGAAACGACCGCAAGAAGGTGAGAGTCGACATCGCTACCAAGACGAAAGTTTTGATTATGAAGTTGAAGAGCTTGCAGTTTATGATTAATTTGTGTACGTTGTTTAAGTGAGATATTTTAACATTATTTACATTGAAACTAAATTCCATTATATTTAAATTAACTTGATATTTTGGTAAATTTTCACACATTTCTAGCACTTCTTTTTCAATAATTTGGCAAATTTATTTAGGAAAATTTACGGGGACATTTATAGAAATAAGGGGGAGCATAGAGAAGAAAAGATTTATTGGAAAAAAATTTTTTAACATTCCTTTTTATTGAACTAAAAATTTTATTGTTCCTACGGAGCAGCTGAAGTTCCTATTTGATCCGAAATTGTTGCTGCTGCAAGTGTTGGAGGGGGCAAAACAAAAGCAACTTGTAAAGGTGTTCCTTGTTTCTGTAAAAGATTTTGCATCTCATCAGAAAAGTGTTTTTGACAATTTATGTTGCTTTGTTTTGTCAATGGTAGTGGTGGATGGATAAATGGATTGTGTTGTTGTACTACAGCAGCTTGTTGATTTTGTATCAATGCATTTGTTGGAACTCCAAAGGGAATTGATGTTGTCCTCGACCCAGCAGCAGTAAATTGCGCTATCGTTGGTGCCTTTAATGGTGATATCGGCAATAACGCTGCAGCAGATGGAGAAATAATTTGAATTGCGGGATGGATTCCAGATGGTTGTGTAAATAATAATTGTTGTTCTGCATTAATTGGAAGGGTCCAACTAAATTAAGTTTAATGAATTTTACAACATACTTGACAAGAAAAATTACCTAAATTTATTTTCATATTGAAATCTCCTCTCAGCATTGCTTTCACGTGCATTCTGCCAACACATTCTTCGTTGTTCTGGCGGTAATGTAGACGATCTTTTAAATTGTCTTCCTACTAAACCAAAATTATAATCATTTCCCAAGTCAGTTTGTAAAGCTGTATCAACCCTTTGTTGAGGCTTTTTCTGTTTTAAATGATAAATTTGTTGATCTTTCACTCGTTTTTGTTGTTGCTGTTGGTGGGTTTGATCTCGAAGACGACGACATTTTCTACAGACCTAAAAACAATTAATTTTGAATGAATTATTCAAAAAAATCATTAACCTGATGTTGTTCTTGTTGCGGAGTTGGTTGTGAATCTTCATCATCGGCAGTTCCTGTTCCACTTCGAATTGTTGGTCTACTACGAGAAACACGTCCACTTGGATCCAATTCATTTTCAGAACAACTTGTAGTTGTTGTAGCAGCTCCACCAAGTTCGTCATAATCGCTGCTGACGGCATTAGTATTTTCCACAGCAGTAGTAGTAATAGCAAAATTTTGCATAGATTGTGCCATTGCTGACATTGTTTCATCACTTGTAGTGGTCACAGACATCTTACAATTAATAATTTTTTTAAGAAACATTAAAAATCGAAAACGCGTACAGACCAAAGTACCGCAACACAATGTACTGCCGAGCTATAACTCGTTCAAACTATTCGAATCAGGGACGCCCTAGTGGACTCGATTCAGCTCATCGAGTCGCATCGAACAATATCAGGGCACCCGGACCGAATAAATTTGAGCGAAGCCCGGATTGGATAAATTTCGGCAGTACATTAGGTTCGAGGTATGTCGACCTGCTCCGAATACTAAAAAACAAACCTTTTCATCAAAATCACTTCGTCTTCTATCATTCTCCTTTTCAAATTGTTCCAATTGTTGTGCAGTCTGTTTTTCAAAATCCTCCGTATCCTCTTGTCCAAAATTTACTTGTGTCGTTTTTTCTGCAGTCTTTAGTGTTTGACAACACAAAGCTTTTGTTGCTGCCACTTTACTAGATTTTGTAGAAACATCCCCAGTAGAACATTCAACAGTTTTGCAAACTGGAAGAGAAGGAGCAGGGAAAACTGACAATTCCGGGATTAGAACTGATTGTAACATGTCGAGTAATTTATCATAATTAGGCTAAAAATTAGCTTAATTTTAAAAACCTTATCATTAAAAATAACCTCATCTCCAAAATGAATTTCACGGCAATAACGAATAAATTTTGCCAAACACGGACAAAATTCTTCCCAACTTGTTTGTTCTTTTAATTGTCTAATTCTTTGGCTAGCTTGATGTCTTGTAGTTGCATTTCTTTTTGAAATATTCTGAAAATAAAAATTTGAATAAAAACAAAATTCATTTAAAATTTAAACCTTCCAAGGTAAATGCCCATTAACAAGTTCTATGAGAACATAGGCCAAACTTTCAAGGTCATCTCTTCGACTCAATTCAATATTTTTGTGACTGTTTAAACTTGCATATTTTGCTGTGCCAATAAAACTACGACCACGACGAAAAGGGATATGAGTCAATGTTCTGTTCTCACCTTCACGAAATCTAAAACAAGAGAGGTAATTAAATTAAACGAAGGTAAAGTGAGAACATAGGACAAAGAATAGGCCAGAGAAGAAGAAAAGTATGGGCAGGATCTTGACGAATCCAAAAAATTAATTAGAGGTTAGTAGGAGAGATCGGAAATTTAAAAAATCCTTATTTTAATTGAGGAAAAATAAAATCTTGACCGGATTCTTGACCTTAAGGAAAATTCAAGGACAAGGAAGAATCAAGGAACACTGAAAAATGCCTTGATCATGACTTTGGATCCAGGAAAATAAAGGTCTGGGTCCAGATACAGGTTAGTAAAAGGTTAAAATCTCCAGCAGTAGGGGCTTTTAAAACAAAATAAGTAACCATACCGATATCTTCTCGCCAAACCAAAGTCGATTAAATAAAGAGTGCTTTCTTTTCCAGGAGGCAATCCCATCAGAAAATTTTCTAAAAATACAAAGGGAATTGAATAATCATCTTAAAAAAACCTGGTTTAATATCTCGATGGATAAATCCGCGTTGGTGTAGATGCCTTATTCTGTGAATCATCTGCTCACCAAGTGATACAATCGTCTAAAAAACTTGAAATGAAATGAGAAAAGGATAAAACCTGTCTAGCAAATCTTCGATTGCAAAAAGCAAATAAGGAAGCAACAGGCGCTCCCAAAAGTTCCATAACCATTATCTTAAATTAAAATTTTTTTAAAAAATGGGTTTGAAAATTCACGTTATGTCCAAATTCGTGGTCATAACAATAAACTTGAGGAAAACCTTCCACTTTTCCATTTCCATCTTCATAAAGAACGGATTTGTAAACCTGAAAAAGATTTTTTGATTAAAAAGCCAAAATTAAATAATTTACCAAATACTCATAGCGCAAATGGTTGTCACGACAAGCTGTTAAAAATAAACAAAAAATAAAATACCAAAGAAACCTCCATCAAATTTAACAGCAACTCTTTGTTTTTTAACTCCAGGACTGTGCAAATCCTCTGCTGCAAAAATTTCACCATATGAACCAGAAGCAATACTTTGCATAATTCGGAAGCGATTGTTGACGAGTAAACCAATTTTGTTTTTTATCATTGCTGCCTGCTCCCAACCTTAATAAAAAATTCTTGAAAAACAAGATTGATATATAAAAATGAGTCCACCACTAAGGTCAAATCAAGATATTTAGAGGCTAAAGGGGAATCAAGATTAAGAATACGGTGGCATGCTGACTTTTGCCTTATCTGACATTTGAAGATTCCGTCTAATTGTAAGTTTCCATAAACCCACATCCATCTTAATTCGCCCAAATCCTGATATCCCCCTTAATAAGTCTTAATCTGCACAAATCCTTTTTATCCTCCAAATATTTGGATTTGTGAGTCTCTGGGTGTGTGTGAGTACCCCTACCTTAAAGATTGATCACATAAAGATAACCTGTAACAGCAGTAGTCCAATCTCCAGCGCCATCCAACGATGGAGGTCGACATTTTTTATTAGGTGTAGTAACAATATGTTGTTGATGGTGATGAACAGCCATGACAGGATGGGCTAATTTGTGCAAAACTGCAGCGGCCGTTGATGGGGGCAAAAACGTTTGGGGTAGAAAATTAGAATGTGCTGTTGAAGCCGAGGGTGGTTGAATAAAAATATTTGGTGGAGGAGGAGGTAGAGGGGGCAATTGACTGAATGTTTGTGGAAGGGGAAGACAATCATTAATTCCCTAAAAATTAAAAAAATTATGAAGAAAAATAGAAAAAATCAACCAAAAATGTAGGCGGATTCGGTCCATGTGGGTGGTTGTGTTGACCTGAATGAATCAAATTCGCAGGAACAAAAGCAGCCGCAAAGGTAGAAGAGCCTGGCTGGCAAGGATTTGAATCCAAAAATTTTGTTCCATTATCAATTACAGGCCTAAACGATATCAAATGTAGTTGGCCCGAAGAGGGAATATTTGGTTGTTGATTAGCCATTGCTGTAGTTGGATGACAATTGGGCATTAGTTGAACAACAGCAGAGCATTTTAAATTGTGTTGGGGGGAAAGAGTTGTTGTCTGAAAATATGAAGCTGTTGCTGAAGATTGTGGTAATTGAAAAGAGTGAAAATTTGTAGAAGTTGTTAAATTATTTGGTTGATGCATTTTTGTTAGAATTTTAATTTCTTTGCAACTTGAAAAAATAACAAAAAATTATAATAAAACATTAAATCAAAAGGTAAAGTAATGTTCAATAAATAAACAAAATGTTTAGCAAAATAAATAAAAAAGAAGGGAAGAGAAAGGTACAGCCGGTAACGAGATGCGTTTGCACAAGGTTAGTACCAGCTCAAAACAAAAAAAAGTGTTGAGGCGTTCTCGCAATAACAATTGCACCATTATTTACAAACGAGTACACACTGACTTTGTATATTTCTCTGATTTACTTTCTCTCGTCTATTTTTCACTCGTGATTATTGAAAAAAATGACGGGTAGTGGACGTTTCAGTGTTGCATTTTAAAAGGAGTCGTTTCAAAGCAAATTATTCAGTGTGTCCTACTGTCGTATGAGAGAAAATCATTAAGAATTCCCGTACGGGAGTTTACGGGATTCTGTCCTGAAATCTATTGTTTTAGCGACTATCGGGATTTACGGGATTGATCCGTGGGATCCTGTCCTGTTAGGCTTGAAAATCCAGAGAAAGCGATTTTGCCGATTTAAGCCGATCATAATATTGTAAATCATATTAATAATGTAAATTTATGATAACATTTTATCATCAAAAATTAGAAACAACAGATAATACAAAATTTAGAATGTTCTATTAATTATTAACATTCAGCTGAAACAATTCGCTGTCTTGGTATCCCATTGTTCTGGGATGTTGAAGATCTGTTTATTTCAGGCCGTTTATTCTGACTAAACCCAGTTCCATTCTCAGCTTTATCCAACTGCCTTTCATTCCCTCCGACTCCATTTCGTGCAAACTGGCATTGATGCTGAAGGCGACGTTTTGCTGTACGTATAAGCCGATAGGAACCATATTTTATGTTTTCACGTCGGCGAACCATTGCCTGGTCTGATGCTAACCAACGATGTGAAAGTGCTTCGTCTGTACGCATTCTCCGCCTGTTTAATTTAAAAAATTGACACAAAAAATAATTTTATACGAAGGCTGTTTCTTTAAAGCCCAAAAAACGAATTTGAGTGCTTCTTCGCTTGCTTGTACTGGAATCTAAACAGAAAATTTAGAATACTTTAAAAATTTTTTTACAAGGTTCGGATCACAACGTTCCTCAAGCACATTATGGCGTACTTCTTGAGGTGTGTCCGTTTCATCAGCAAATGGATGAAAGCCAGCAAGTCTGAAAATCCCGGGTTTAGATTTTCCAATCATTTGATGCTCAAACTCACAGGCAAAAAGTAATTAGGCCAAGACCCCACATATCACTTTGCTGATTGGCCAAAATTTGATCTTCGTTATTTTTGGCGGAATTGTTTTCCAATCCATTAGAAGTCTTTTTAGTTGTTAATAATAGAACTTCCGGTGCAGTCCATTCTTCAAGTAACTGTCCATCACCTGCTAATCCATTACGCGAACCTATAAGACGAGCTCTCCCAAAGTCAATTAATTTAACATGCCAAGCTCGTTTTGTGGTAAACATTACGTTTGTAGGTTCAACATCACCGTGAACAAATCTGTTATTGTTTTGAGGGGTTTGAGGGTATCTCAGAGGTAAACTCACCCACAAAAGTGGATCCATCGAAGAGCACCAGCAATTTGACGAATAACAAAAGCTATTTGCTCCTATAAGTATTATTAATTGTGAGTACTATTCGAAGGATAACAACCTCAGAATATGTCTCAAGCCTCACAAATCTTTGAAAAATATCTTCATAAAGACGCTCCATGAAAAGAAGTTGGAAAGCATTGTCAGAACAATAAGCAGCTAGAAGTTGAACGATGTTTTCATGTTGACATTCTGATAGTGTTTCATATTCAATTAATGCAGCCTTCATACGTTCTGCTGGTGTTGCAAACATTAGAGAGCCGTGAGTAGGTGAGGCACGTATTTTAACTGAACAAAATATCTTTGTAATTGTAAGGAACAATAAGATTCTAAAAATACCTATACAATGGGAACTTGTTTTAGAGTCAATGGCATAGCGTATAACGCTAAACTGGCCACGGAAAAGTTCTGTTTCCAGCTGTCAATTAATATTAAATTTAAATCGGTAATGGTCTGTGGTACCTGAAATCGTTTAAGAGGATCTTCACTAGTATTCAATTGAACTTTCTTCGAAAACCCATTTCCGTTCCCATTAACAGATCCATTCCTTAAAGAATCCTTCCTAGTATTTTCATCATTTTGTATTTCAATTCCTTCTTCGTCTTCTTCCTCTTCCCTTTCAGCCAATTCTTCTTGAATTTCGGTAAGCCCTGGGCCTTTACTTTTTTGTGGCATAATAACTACAGTAAAACGACGCCCTTCCTTACGTAATACGTCTAAGTTAAATTTTGGAACACCTAAAAATCAAATAAAATATTTTCGAGGATGTGTTCGACCTCGAGGATGTGTCCGAATAATTCTTGAATGTATTGAAGGCTCTCCCCATCCAAATTCATTTTTAGCAGTTACGCGAAATTGGTAAATACCTTGAGGCTAAAAGATCAAATAGTAAATTGAATCTCCCTCTATACTTTACCAATAAATGCTTAATCACCACAGCTTCTTCCTCAACACAATTACTTAAACATGTCCAAGCCGAAAAAGCATCACGTTCACCTGCGGGTCTACATTCAATCCGATAAGTAGTTCCGTTTAGCTAATATGGTTTCTATTCAATAAAATTTCAAAAAATCATACCGTAACAGGTAACCTTTCAGGTGCTTCCCAACTAACATAAACTTCCGTATCCGCAGATAATTCAACTTCGGGACGGGAAGGACGATTTGGAGGTTCTTTAGAATTAATTATAAAATTCAAAATTCTATATTTTACCTCCTCCAATACATTTACAAATACATTTATCACGCCCCAATTCGTTTGTAGCAACACATGAGTATTCCCCTGTATCCACACCGGGTAGAGGTTTTAAAATGGTTAATCTAATAAAATCGAGTGAATATTAATCTATGTAAAGTTAACTTATTCACCGCCATATGTTATTGCCTAAACGAGTAATTTGATGCCGACCATCCTCACATAATGCACTTTCATGATGAAAGAAGGTAACCTCGGGCGAAGGGTTACCTGAGATAATTTTCGAGTTTTATCAGAAAAAAATATCTTGGATATTAACCAATAGGTTGACATTCCATATAAACCGAAGGAGAATTCTCAGAAAAATAGCCATCACGCAGTCGTGAACGAAAAATGGGTGCAAATTCTTTAAAGAAGTATTATTTTAATTTCTATTTCAATGTTTCCATACTTTTTTCACCGACATTCTGTGACTTTTCAGAAGTCTCTCCCTGAGCTTCAATACATTCATTCCCATTAGTTACTCGTAGTTGTGCACCTTCATGGGTTTGGAGTAAGCCTTCAAGAACGTTATCTACTGATTTTGCTACAAGGGGTTCTTCTGAAAAATGAGAGAAATATACATATTTGCAAATTATAAAAAGAATCCATTGGGATTAAACTTGGAAATCGCGCATATGGTATATGAGACGGATCCTTTCGGATAAATCCTAAAAATCCCGAAAATTGAAAATTACGGTATCTCAGTTTGATCCCCGAATTACTCTCTCAAATACCTCTTATTAAATCAGTATATCTACGCCTTTCTCTAACAGTTACATCTGTATTCCTTGCTCCAAGCTCTCCAGAAAAAACATAGGCAGCAGAATCTCCCCAAATTCCACGTCTATAATCTCTAACTCGAGCATTAAAACGAGCTCCAAAAGTTGGCACCAATAAAGTTTCTGGCCCAATTTGATAATTTGATTCCCAGGCAAAATCTTCATCTCCACTAATATTTTTAAGAGTCTGTAAACTTTTTACTTCACGTTCATATTCAGCATAAGCTGAATATGGTCTATAAATTTCTAGATCTTTTTCTTCTTGTTTAAGTAAGGCTGGGGTTTGCTCCTTTAAAATCATAATAAATTTAAATTGTAATTTTATCTCGTACAGAGTTTCGTTTGTCTTGATCACGTTTAACTCGATCAACGGCATCCATTAGTAAATCAAATTCTGTATCAGGCAAGTGACGGAAAGGGGAAGGTTTTTGGACTGTTGAATCATGAGAGGCATTCGGCGATAGGACCTCTTTCTTCGGCACAATCTGAACGCTCATGGTATGTTCCCCACGAGGTGAAAGTTGTACGGGTGATTTTATACCAAAATCTGGGATTTGAAGGGGAAGATGTTTGCTAGTAAAATGTTGTTCTGCTTCATCAAGTATTTCGGGTGGGGAAGAAATGTCGTCTGGAAGTTTCTGAAATTTTGAAAGAAAATTTTTTGAATGAGCAAAAATCTATTTTTATTTAATGACCTCCGATGGGAAAAAATGTTGTAATTGTTGATTAAGTGGAGGAGGAGATTCGGCCATAAATGCGGGAGAGGCTAGAGGAGTTACCGTACTAGAGGAAGGACCTTCATGTTCAGCTGTTGTTGTGGTACTCCCTTCCCCGTCAGCATCCATAGCATCTATTGGGGTTGTTGTTCTTCGAGGAACCTAATTAATTTTGTTGTTTTTAGTGTGTGTTTAACCAAAGATTAATTAAACAAAGGATTAACACAATATTTGTCAACACCTGTTTTTGCGGGCGAGGAGTAGTTGTACCAGAGGAACGTTCACTGTTTTGGGTGGCTGAGCTATTCGAATCACCTCCACCGCTTTCCTCGGAAATATCGGAAAGAACACGATTAGCAAGCTGTAAAATTAAACAAAAAATTTATCGAAAGTGGGCTGTTATTAAGCACCTCCTCTTGAATCTGTCGACGCTCTCCTCTAATTAATTTCATAAGAGCTGATTGAGGATTCTTTGAAAAATAATCAGTCTAGATTTATTTTTGTACAAAAATTACTTTTAAATCCTCTAATTTTAATTCAGTAATTCCAAACTGTTTAGCCAAGTCAGCAAGGAATTCGGTCTCTTCTGGAGTCAATTTTTGTTGTGGTTGCTGTTGTGGTTGTTTTTGTTTCTTTGCCGCAGCTGCAGCCATCTATGAATTAATTTTTGTAAAATATTTTAGAAAATTCCCTCACCTCCTCAATTTTCTTTGAAATTCCTGCAGGTAAGGGTGCAAACTGTGGAGGTCCAGTTTGCTGTTGATACCCTCCACCAGGGGCTGATCGTTCCGATGAGCCACTTCTGCTACGAGGAGGTAATGGTGGTGGAGCTCCCTGACCTTTTGGTTGAAATTCTGGAGGCAAATAAAATCCTCCTCCATAAGGGTCCCATCGCAAATGTTCTTTTTTAACGCCTGGGGGTAATTGAGAAACAATCCAATCTGGAATGGGTGGAGGTTCTGTTGGAAATCGTGGCGTTCCAGGAGATTGACTTCGTTTATTTGAAGGAGGTATGGGAAATGGAGGCTGTTGTTGTTGTCCTCCTCTATCTCCAAAGGGTTGTCCACCAAAATTATTTTGACCTCTAGGTGTAGGAGATTCACGCATTGGCAACGGAGAAAGACCCTTCTGTCTTTGAGATTGAATTTGTTGGGCAAAATGGGGCTGTTTTGCTGCTTGTTCCTCAGCTCGAATATGCAAATAATCATAAACAGCTAAAGGTTCCCTTCTAGAAATTTCTGAAGGCGTAGCAGGCTCCGCTGTAGGCCTTTTACTACTCGCAGTGCACAAAGCTCGAGGTGCTTCTACCATTTGTGTTAATTGCTCCGAGGGAGTTTGTTGTACAAATACTCGACGTTCTAGCCATTGATGTCGATATTTGAATTCACGTAAGCAATCAGTTGAAAGCTTGGCATCGTCTAAGGAAGGATCGGATAACCACTCTTGAGTCAATGCTTGTTGAACATCAATACGTCCACTTAAATGTTATTATTTTTAATTTTCTATTAAGAAACGAAACTGTGGATCTCTAACTAAAAGCTTCTTAACAAATTCACGAGCATTTGAAGAAATTTGTTGGTTTGTATCATCAAACTGAAACTCCCCTTTTAATACATTTTGCAAAGTTTCTTCATCATTATCACCAAGAAAAGGTGATTGACCAAAAAGGAGAACGTCTTTAAATCATCAAAATTGTCAAGTAATTTTAAAAATTGTTAAATTACAAGTAAGAGCTCCAACACTCCACATATCAGCTGCTAAAGTGACTGGTTCTGTTCCAGCTACTACTTCGGGAGAAACAAATTCTGGGTTAGATTTAATCGAACCACCCATCAGTTTTCCATTGATTAGCCGTCTATATAATCGCAATTAATTATTATTTTGACTAATAAATCACCTGCTTTGACCAAAATCGGCAAGTCGAAGATGGTCATCTTGCAGTAAAATAACTTCTGGTCTCAAATCCAAATGAACAATCCCCCGACTATGCATATAAGCTAGAGCTGTTAATAGTTGTTTTACAAAGATCTGGGAAAGAATTTCCTGAATCAGAAAGAGAGATCCCTTTTCTACCTGTACTTGTTCTTCTCTAGCTCCAGAAGGACGGGGTGCTGATTCCCCAACTTGACATGTAGAAGGAGATCTTGAATGTGAACGTCTAGATGGCGGAGGTAGTAAAGAGTCAAGAAAGGAGCGATCTGCGCTAAAAAGGGAGATAAAACCTGATTTTAATATTAAAAGGTATACACAATTTTAGAGGGCTTAATGAACGTTTTCCTGGTAATATTGAAGAAAATGAGGTAATTGAATCGGTTGAGGATGCCATTAATTAAGTAATAATTTAAGAAATTTAATTTTTAAGAGAGGATTTAAGAGCAATAATATGGCTATTTTCCAATATTTTTTATAAGCTTGCGTGTTTTGGATCAAGAGCTATTGGGTTGGTATATCGGAAAATGCTTATTTGTTTGCTCATCTATTTGAGTTACTCCCTCATTTATTTGTCGATTTTACTAATAATTTTACCAATAAATCCACTCATCGCTCATATAAAGCTCTCTTAATTCTTAAGAATTTCAACTTAATTTAATTCAAAAAATTCAATTTTTGAATTTAATTACTGCAAAATTTTACGAACTTTCCATAAACTATCACAGCTTCCCCATCCTCCACCAAAACTTGGTGTAATTGAGCAAGATCAGGCGATTCACGCAAAACATTATGCATTTGAATATCCCTTTCCAATTCTTCATCCAAAGGCTTCCTTTGTGCCAAAAAGCGTCTGCCAGTAGAGCGTTCAACAACATTGAAGCAAGGAGAAATACTCCTTGGAGTTGATGAAGCAGACGACATTTTTTTAACTTAATAGAGGGATAAATTTTTAAAAATATTGGTATATTTGAACTGCAGGACTATTATAATTTGCAAAGGATGCACAAACATTTATCCACAAGGCAACTGTTATTTAAAGCTATATTTACAGCTTTAAAGCTTGAGAATAGTGAAAGTATTTTAGTACTATTTCTATTTTTATTTAATAAAGAACTTGTAAAAAAGTTGGAAGAGATTTTAACGTGTTGGGGAAACACGATCGATTTAAAAGCACCAGATGTGTGAGGATAAAAGTGAATAAAAATTTAAAAGCATTGACTAATGTTGTATCCATGTGTGTTTGATAAAGTGAAGGGAGTGGGGGGGGGGGTATAATCGTTTTTGGCGTTATTAGGTGAGCAGTGAGATATCGAGGGAGGACTTATGTTAGTAGGAAACTGTAGGAGAGAGAGTCTAAAAGGGAGTCAACCTCACTGAAATTTTTATTAATAAAAACGGATAAATTATATCAAATATTGGCTTAAATTTGGTCAAGAACTACTTAATCTTACTTTAACATAAATATTTAATTTACCAGCTCTATTAGTAAATCCTCAAGATTGCAAGAAGCAGCATAACCAACGCTTAATTATTGCCAGATATTGTAAAAATTAGTTACTCTCTAAATAAATAATTAAGATAATGTTGTAATATTTTTAGATAAAGCAAATAAATATGTAAGTTAAGGCTATAAAAATTTTAAAAATAAATGAACTTTGCTTCTGAATATTTATCAAAAATTAAAAACATTTTTAAAAATGGCGAGCTTTTTGGCCGTAAATTGAGGGATCAACAAAAATTAGGGAAAGAATAAATACGTTCCATTAATTTTTAATTTTTTCTAATTTTAAGGAAAATTTTCACGGAAATTTTCGAAAAATTAAAAAAAACGGAACGTTTAGGGACTAGAATAAAATTTTTATAAAATTAATCTAATTACTACATAAAATTATTTAACAGATTCTGTTGCAATAGAATATTCTTCTTCTACAGCTTCTTGAATATCATAAATATCTCGAAGAGGTCCGCGCTCCAATTTTATAGATTTTCGAAAGTCTTTTAGTTTGAAATCTTTCAAAAAGTCATTTTCGACTGTTAAATAAATTAAATTTATTTTTAAAAAATATTTGGATAACCTTCTACAGTAATAGTACAAGAAGTAACTGCTTGACCTGCGTCGTTGAAGGCAGTACAGCTGTAAATAAATTTAGTTTATTTTTCTATAGGACGCTGTCTTTATCAGAGAGTAGGGTTGGGAGTTCTAAGGATGTCGAACCCGGATATCCAGAAAGTTGGATATCGCTTTCGGCTCCAGAAATCTAAAGATTTCTCAGGAACAAATAATCTCATTAGAGAAGTACAATATGAAGGGTACAATAGCGACAAGGGCTCCTATTTTTCGTGAATAAATTATTTAAAAATTTTACGTATAAATGCCGGAATCGCTCCAAATGGGTTGATCAATAAGCAGTGTACGCAAATTCGAATCTTCTTGAATCAGATGAACGCGTGAAGATTCGGCAACTGGCCGCCAATCCTTTGATCAAATATTTAAAATTTAGGGGGATAAAACCAATATTTATGCACCTTAAGCCATTTAACCTCTGGCACAGGATTGCCTTCTACACGAACATTTAGCCTTAATGGCTTATCAGAAGTGTAATCCCGATTTGATAAAGGTTGAGTGAATTTTGGGCGGGCTAAAAGTTTCAACTGATAAAGCTTATCATTATCTTAAACTCACTAGCAACATCAACAAGTAAATTTTGTTCAGCTTTTCCATACTGGTTCTCAGCCACACAGGTATATTGCCCAGCATTTGACTTTTGAAAGCCTAGGAATGTGATGGTAGTCTCAGCACCAGCATGTGAGGAAATACTGGAAGTATTCAGAAATATTATTTTTTAAGCAAAAAATCACCGAATGTTTGAGGTTGGCCCGGAGGCATCAATATCCCAACCTCTATGTTTCCATGTAATTTTTGGATCAGGATATCCTGCATAATGTAAAGTAATTGAAAGATGGTCAGTTTCTGCAACGAAGTGTCTTTCTTTCACGCCTGGCGCGAACCTAAAAATATTTTCAATAAAACTTCTTTAAAAAATTTTCAGCACCAAGGAGTGCAAGCATATTGTTCAGCATGTGCTTGATCTAAAGCTCGCTCCATGTAAGGGTCAAGAAGAGGTATAACTCGGCGGAACTTGTCTAAAACTGGTGGAGGTCTTGCCATTAGCCTCGATGGGGGTGATGGGGGAGATGGATCGCTAATTCCATAAATATTCTCGGCACGAACACGAAACTGGTAGCTTTTTCCCAGTTCAAGATTTCGAACTTTGCAGACAGGCTCTGGAATATTGTAGTCAAGTAGTTGCCAGTCTTTATCAGGCAATTCACGAAATTCGATAACATATGTAACTTGAGGGTATCTTGGAGGACTTCTCTTTGTTGGAATCCAGGAAAGGGTTAAATAATGGCCAGTAACTTCTCTACAATAATAAGAGATTAAGGATAAGTCAAATCTTTAAGCTTCTCACTTTATGAAAGGCCCTCTATCAGGGGGTGTTGGAATTGATTTCATTTGCCTTCTGAATCCGTATTCTTCCTATAAATAAAAATCTTTTTTAGTAAACATTGCTATTCCAGCGGACCGTTAAATATGGTGTAACGTCTTCAGAACCGTCAAATTTAATCTTGTCCATGAATGGAACTGTTACATCCAAAATGGCAGAACTTTGTGCCTGTCCATGACAGTTACGCGCAATAGCGACATATTCACCCGCATCTTCAGTACAAACATCTTGTATTAGAAGGGCATGCGAACCACCACCAGCAACCTGGATCTTGTGACGAGGGCCGGGGCATATCTTTTTTCCATTGTGATACCTAATAAAATTTTATCTGGGAAGTCTTTCTCAACTTCATACCAATCAACATCCGGCGGTGGATATCCAACCACAAGACAATCAAATATTGCAGGCATTTTAACGAATACATGTTTGTTCTTGAGTTGTCTAATAAAGCCAGGTGGGAATGGCATAGCTCCACGTCCTTCCTCTTCTTCTCCTTCAACAACACGAGGTCGAATGACACTTAAGGAGCCTGTGGAGACAACCTCTCCAAGTGGATTTTTTGCAACAACTGAATAATCTCCGGCATCGTCTGGTTGAACATTTACAATTACCTGAAGAGAGTTAATTGTATAGAGGAATCGGTATAAGTTCCAACCAAATGATGAAGGCCTCGCTCATCTTGGAAAATACTTATCCTCGAGTCAGGTGCGCCAGCAGCTTCTGCCAAAGGTTTACCATCCTTAAGCCATTCAACACTTGGCGTAGGCACTCCCAGAACGGCAACTTGCCATTCGAGAGGGCTTCCTTGATGTATGCTTTGATTATGCAGACCACTAAAACTAAGTTTAAGTAAAGAACTTTAAGGAATCCTTACGGCCTAATTCTCGGCTTCTGGTCAGCTGGAGGGCCCTCTTCTTCTACCTTTCTTGAAGGCAAACGATCACCTATCATTTTAAGCTCTGCTTTAGTGCTGGCTGTGCCATACTATAATATTATAGGACTTGAATAATTAAAATCTATGGTATCCTACTTCATTATTAGCCACACATCGATAGAATCCTTCAGAGGGAAAGTCTACATTTGTAAGTGTTAATCTTTGTGTTCCATCTGGCAATGCTTCAATACTAATTCCTTCACCAGGCTTAATTTCAATCCCATCCTTGAGCCATTTTATATCAGGGAATGGCTGTCCATAAGGAAGGCATTCGAAAACAACTGTTTCTGTAGGCTTTGCACGTTTCATAGTTAAGGGGATAGTAAAGCCTGGAGCACGACCAATGTCCTGAAATTACTTTATAAAAATTTAAGGATTGCTAGGTTACTTTTAATTGATCTTTCAAACGTTCTTCGAATGGTTTTCGAGCTTCTTTTGATACTTGAACTTCTCCAACAGTTCGAGCAGTACCAAAAGGATTCTCTGCTATACAACGATAATTTCCAGAATCAGATCGCATTGATTCGGGGATTTCCAATTCACACCATCCATCATCATCAATTTCTGGAATGGCAACGTGGTCATAAGGAAAGAGACGATCTCCATCTTTATACCTATTGAATTTATAACTTTCTTTAAAAAATTTTTCCTTCAAACCATTTAATGGTAGGCTTTGGATCTCCACTACGCCATCCGAACCGGCATCGCATTTTTATTGGCTCTTTTTCCATTACTTTAACATTTTGTAAAGGTTCAAGTAGCTTTGGAGCTCTATTTGCATCGAATTCATCAGAAACTCCCTCAGGTTTTTCCAATTTTGGACGTTCTTCTTCAGCTTTTTTAACAGATACTGTACACTTGTCATAAGCTGAACCATGAGGATTTGTAGCAATCACTCGGTAAACCCCGTCATCATCAATAGTGCATGAGGGAATAATTAGTTTTCCGTCTCCAGATTTAGGGTCACGTTCTAAACGGCATCGTTCTGAGGGTCGAATCTGTTCTCCATCCTTGTACCAAACCAACTCGGGTGTTGGATCACCTTCAACGCGGCAATGGAGTGTTAGAGGTTGCCCTTCTGTTACTCGCTGATCTGCTAGGCGTACGCTGATTAATGGAGGTTTTCCTTCAGCAGTTGGAGGCGCTCCCTTCTTAAAATTTGAGAATATTTATTTAGCAAGGAAGAAGTTACCCCTAGCTCATCTTCAACCCGTACAGTCGCCCTTGTACTTGCTTGCCCACTCTCATTTGTAGCAACACAACGATAAGTTCCTTCATCGTGGGCAGTCGCATCCCGTATTCGCAATCGGTAAAAACCTTCATCTGGCCGACTCTCGCTCCAATCGAAACGGGCATCTTCCGCCAAAGGATGACCATCTTTTGTCCATTTTACCGTGGGTAATGGTTTTCCAGTTACTTTACATTCTAATTCAATAGGAGAGCTAGTAAATACGGTAGAATCAGAAAGGGGAATAATGAAGCGTGGTGCTTCTCCCTCTTCACTTGGTGGAGGCTTTTCTGCTTTTAGTTTCACTAAAAATTCGGAAAAATAATCATTCTGTATTAAAAATACTCACTATCTACATGACCAGTAGCTTGTGTTTTAGCAGTTCCAAAAGCATTAGACGCTTCACAACGATAAATACCCTCATCTGCAATTGAGCAATCAATTATAGTAAGCCGGCATTCTCCATTTGGAAGACGTTCAATCTCAATTCGGCCTTCAGCAGGAGAAAGTAGTTTACCATCCCTATACCATTTGATTTCGTCTGGTGTTCCACCACCCAAAATACAGCTGAAGACCATTTTGTCACCACGGTCAATGTACTGATCAACAAGGCCACGGACAAATTGAGGAGGTTCACCAGCAGCCTCCTCAGTGACAGATGGAGCTCGTTTTTTAACTCCAACTTGACATGCGGTGTTGGCGCTGCCATGAATGTTTTGGGCAACACAGCGATAAGCTCCTAATTAAGGAAAATATTTTTAAAGGATTTTTGAGGTAAATCACCTTCATCGTTAGTTAAACAATCATCAATTGTCAACAAACACTCTCCACTTTCTTCATTATAATTTATACGAATCCTGTCACCTGGTCTAATAGGTACACCATCCTTGTAAAACGTAATACTTGCTGGTGGTTGAGCTTCTACTCGGCAACGAAGCAAAATTTGTTTGCCTTCCTCAAAGGCACAATCTTCCAATCCGGGATTGAATCTTGGAGCTTTTGCAAGCTCTTCTTTAGGTGCTTCTTTTTCTGCAATTGGTTCAACGTTGTAGTTTGCGCGGGTATCAGCAACTCCGAAGGGATTTGTTGCCTGGCAGCGGTATTCACCTGCTCCGGCGTCAGCACGAAAATCTTTAATGCGCACCCGGCAGGCTCCATCTGGCGTATTTCTAATTTCAATGCGTCCATCGCCAGTGTCCTTGAGTGGTTCACCATTGTAAAACCTTAATGATATTTGATAATTCCCATGAAAATCTCAAAAACCCCCACCATTCAATATCCGCTGCAGGTTTCGCATCTACATGACATTCAATTGATAAAGGTTGTCCTTCAGGTATTCTTCGGTCCCAAAGAGGTACATTAAATTTAGGAGCATAACCACTTGGTTCAGATGGAACAATTGAAGGTTTCCTTTCAGAAGGCTCAAACTGTGCCTCACATTGATCCTGTCCAAGTGGATTACTTGCAACACACTTTAGTGTCCCAAAATCTTCTTGACGTATATCAGCAATGGTTAAGGACCAATTTCCATCAGATAAATCTTCAAGTTTGAAACGTGGTTCACCAATAATTGGTTTCCCATTGAGTGTCCATTCGAGTGTTGGGGAAGGCACTCCTCGCACTTTAACACGGAATTCAACATTTGAACCAGGAGCTCCTTCAGTCTTTTTCAATGGGATAATGAATTTTGGTGCTTCTCCTTTCTCGGCACCACCAATTGTTACTTTAACTTGGCAACTTGTTTCAGCCTGTCCCGCTTCATTTTTAGCGACTGCTCGGAATTGGCCAGCTTCAGAACGTTTTACATCTCGGATACGAAGCATGGCACTTCCATCCAAGCCCAAACGAATGGCTATACGATCACCATCTGGTTGGAGTTGTTCTTCTGCAGTGGCACTCTCTGCTTTGCGATACCATATGACCTTTTAATAATTTCACTATAATGAGGAAAAAGGGGTAGTTTACCTCTTCAGGCAATGGCTGTCCTCCAACAGTGCACTTTAAGGTAAGAACTTCCCCCTCTGGCAATTCTACGTCCGAAAGTGGAGATAGGAATACTGCTGGACTTGTTTCTATTGATGGTTTCCGCGAGCGAACATGAGCAACAGATCCAGAAGAAACTTCTCCTCCAGCAGGGTTTGCAAAAACTACACGATAAGCCCCTCCATCTGAGGTAGCTGCTGAAGGGATGAGCAATGAATAAATACCAGTTTCTGGGTTGGAAATCTTTAAAAGAATAAATTGTGTTCTTTCAGAAATTTTAAATGTTTTCATACAATTTTTAGCCTTTCTCCATCAGGTTTTACTTCCACACCATTTTTCAACCATGTAACACTTGCAGGCTGTCCATCCAATTCGGCAACAAGTTCAAGAGGTTCACCCTCGTTAATGGTAACATCATTTAGGCCTTTACGCAATTTGAATTGGACAGGCTTGCGCACTTTCAAATCGGCTTGAGATTCACATTGACCAGCCCGATTGGATAGAATAACCTATAAATTTAACAAATGCCTTAATAACCTATATTATCTCAACCTTATAGGTCGCACCATCCTCAAGTTTTGCATCAGTTAATTCAAGCTCATACTTTTTAGGCGAAATATCTTTAAGACGAAAACGAGCACCAGTCGGTGCCGTAATTTCCTGGCCATCTTTGAACCATTTTACTGTAGAAATTTTTAAACAATTTTGTTTCAATGTTAAAAATATCTACCAGTTCGAATAGGGGCTGAAGCCTCAACACGGAATAGATGTTCATCTCCTTCAAGAATATCTCCTGGAAGGAGTCCTTGAACAATCCTAGGTGCCTGATCGACTTCGGCACGGGCAGTAGAAGCTGCCTTGCCTGCAGCATTGATAGCTTGAACTTCGAATTCGCCAGCATCTGAGAGAGCAGCAGCTGGGATTGTCAGACGGTACCTAAAAATAGGTAACGTGAAGTTCAAAAAGTTTAAATTCCTCCACAAACGTTTGATCATCAACTTTCTGCACTTGAATTCGAGCATCTTTGCCGACAGGAAATTCATCCTTTAACCATTTAATCTCATCAACATCTCCCTGTATTTGGACCTCAAATGTTAGAGGCTCTCCTTCAGCAACGATCTGATCAAGCAGAGCTTTTACAATTTTAGGAGGTTCTAGTTTCTTGAGAGGGCGAACAGACAATTGTGCAGAACTTTCAGCTTTTCCAGCAGAATTTTCTAGCTGAATCTTATATGATCCAATATCTTCTTTTATGGCAGAACGAATAATTAATTTGAAGATGCCGGTAGTCGGTTCAGAGATTATTTGTACTCTATCATCAGCAATGATCTCAGTTCCATTTTTAAACCATCTGATAACTCGTGGCAAACTTCTCAAATTAGTCTCACACATAAACTCTGCCACAGCACCTTCGTCAACTTCCAAATCCTTGAGTGGTTTAATAAATTCTGGGAAGGGTTCAACAGTTTGTTTAGCTTCACATTTAGCCTTTCCAGCATCATTTTCAATTTCTACAGAATAGAGACCAGAATCATCAGCTAAAGCAGAAGGAATGATAAGACGGAAGTGATCAGGCCCTAATTGTTCCATTCGAATGCGGTCTGATGGCAATAATTCTTGGCCATTTTTGTACCTAAATTAGGCAAAATATTTTCATGTTTCTGGCAAACTTTTTCCTACCATTTGACCAAAGTTGGCTTTCCAGTAGTCTTAACCTCCAAAACAAGCTGATCCTTCTCAGGAATTGTTTGCTCACGAAGGGGTTGTTCAAATCCTGGTACTTTTGCTAAGGATCGCACACCTAGCTGAGCAGAACTTTCTGCCTTTCCAGCAGTATTTTCTAGAAGAATTTTGTATGTTCCAATATCTTCTTTTATGGCTGATTTAATAATTAATTTGAATATTCCAATATTCGGTTCAGAGATTATTTGGATCCTATCATTTGCTATGATCTCACTTCCATTTTTAAACCATTTAACAACTCGTGGCAAGCTTCTTAAATTAGTTTCACACATAAATTCCGCCACCGCACCTTCATCAACTTCCAAATCCTTGAGTGGTTTAATAAATTCTGGGAAGGGTTCAACAATTTGTTTAGCTTCACATTTAGCCTTTCCAGCATCATTTTCAATCTCGACAGAATAAAGCCCAGAATCATCTCTTAGAGCAGAAGGGATAGTAAGACGGATTTGATCAGGCCCCAATTGCTCAATTTTGATACGATTCGATGGAGAAACTTCTTGGCCATTTTTAAACCATTTAACAATGTGAGGCTTCCCAATAGTTTCAACTTCAAGTAATAATTCATCCTCTTCCGGAATTGTTTGTTCTCGCAAAGGTCTTTTAAAACCAGGCTTTTCAGCTGGAAGTAAAACTCTAAGTTGGCAGCTAGAATCGGCACCCGGTTCGTCTTCTTTGTCAAAGACTTTGACCTTAAAATAATTTTTTATAAAAATATTACAAGGGTACTAATCACACCGAATAATTAGCTGCATCAATTTCATCAGCATCAGGAATCTCTAGTTTAAATTTAGTATCAGATATCTGTTTTGGCTGTGCTTTCACTTGTCCGGGCTTTAATTCTTCACCATTTTTATACCATTTTACTATTTTAGGAGCTCTGTTAGTTTCGATTTCTAGGACTGCAGTTTGGCCTTTTGGCACTTGTTGATCTGTTAGAGGACGGACAAAGCCTAGAGGAGGAAGTGCAGGAGGGAGTACTGTAAGTGGGGCAGAGGAATCTGCTTCTCCAGCATTGTTGGATAATACAACCTGGAAGATCAGATTTTAGGTTGAAAATTAAAGAAATTCAAGAATTTTTCCAACCTTGTAATCCCCTTGATCATCTTCATTAGCTGATGGTATAATCAGACGATAAATTCCAGCAGCTTTGTCCTCTTCAACTACAGGATTTTCCAATTCCTTTCCGTTCTTGTACCATTTAACGGTTCTAACAGGTCCACGAGCTTGGACTTCGAATTTGGCAGGTTCGCCAGATCGAACGCTTACAGGCAATAGACCTTTGACGATTTCTGGTTTTGATTCTGAAAATTGTTTATACTTAAATATTTCTATAATTTAATATTTTTGTATGCTAATAATTATTATTCGTTTTAAATTGAGAGAAGAAAATAAGAGCTGCGCGACAAGTTTAGAAGCAATTAGAAACAAACAAAATGGCACATTTAATAATGATCAGTAAAGAATAATTAGAAAAACGATAAAATCGTGATTAGATTGCGCAATGATTTTGATGGTTAATGAGGGAAATGGCAGATATTTACAATAAAAATATATTTAATGGGACTATAATTAAAATAAATTCAATATAAAAATACAAGGAATTGTATTTTATTTTTCATTAAAGCACTTGATAAAGCTTAAAAATGGCAAATATTATTTCCCTTGTTTTGTTACAATTAATAATGGCACAATTTTTTGTGATCAGCATCAATGGATCGGGCAAGTTTTGAGTGATTTTTAGCAAAAATCCTTCCTATAACAGAGGACTACCATCATGGATATGGCCATCACCAACCCTATGGGTATGGACATGGATATGGTCAGAGATATGGTAATGACTATGGATATGGAGGGCATAACCCTTCGGATCATCATGGAGATTATGGGTAGAAATAATATAAAATGAAATGTTAAATCACGTCCTTTTAAAGTTATGGACATCATGATGACCATCATAATCCACACAATCATTATGGCTATGGAAATCCGGGGGGCTACGGTGGAGACTATGGAGGAAAATACGGAGGATACGGACATTATGGAGGAAATGGAAGTCCGTTTCCTTACGCAAAGTATATGTGAATAAAAGAATAATAAATAGAGAAGAGGAGGAATTTATTGATAAAAAGTGATTAAATTGATAAAAAATAAATTTATAGGACTAATATTTTTGTAATTAGAGATAAAGCCTTTCAATAAAAATATAAAACTCCCACCAGCTTCAGTAACAGCAGCGGCGCTGTCGGCCGAACCAGCTCCATTTGAAACTTGTACGGAATACTTGCCAAAGTCCCCGTCATCTTTGAGTTCGGGAACCATTAAACGATAATGTCCATTGCCCAAATCTTCACCAGGGCCTAATGGACGTCCATCTTTGAACCATTGAATATTCGTTGGTTTTCCATCGACTTCTACGTCCAAAACGAGAGGAGAGCCCTTAGGAAGGTTCTGATCTTGTAGGCCACGTTTGAATGTTGGAGGTGTCTCTTTGACGGATGCTAAATTTGAGTATATTAATTGAACTATTCTTATAAACGCACGAGTAACAGTTAGCGGCGCTCCAGATCTAGCAGACCCTGCTGGATTTGTTGCTACACATTCGTAATAATTTCCATCATCGTTGGGGCCGACTGGAGGCAAATGAAGGCGCTGTGTGCCGTCTGGTAATGATTCAATTTTCCCATCATCGGGTCCAAGTTCTCGGCCATTTTTGTACCATTTAACATCAGGTTTTGGAGTTCCATGTATTTTACATTCAAAGAAGGGTTCTTCTCCTTCCTTGGCCTGTACAGGTTTAAGTTGTTCAACAAATTCTGGCACCATTTCCTTCGGAATTTCAGGCATTTTTTCTGCTAAAACTACGCGAAGAGGAGCTTCCGTTGATGCTTTTCCAGATGGATTAGTTGCTTCACATCGGAATTGGCCAGCATCGGTAATACGTGCGGCAGGAAGTGTTAGGCGTGCTGTGCCATCAGGGAAAAGAGTTTGTTTGAAATGAACATCCCCAGCATCAATTGGTTCACCATCCTAAGATTAACATTAGAAAAATAGAATTATCTACATAGCAAAACTTGCCTTAAACCATTTAAGTGTAGGCATAGGTTCTCCTTTTACAACACATTCCAACTCAGCAGGTGCACCCTCTTGAGCATGAACCTCTTGGAGAGGTTTAACGAATATTGGTGCAGTTGGACCTTGCATTTCAGAAACTTCAGGAGTGTGGGCTATAATTTTGGTAAATGCATTAATAGCGGAGATAGCTCACTTGAAACGGTTAATGTCACATCACTCCAAACATCCCCGTATTTATTGCTAGCTTCGCAGCGATAATCATCCATATCCCCAAGTTGTGCATCAGTGATAATTAGACGTTGTGTTCCATCAGGATGTGCCTCGATACGGTATCGGGGATTTGCCCCTTGAACGAGAAGCTGATCACCCTTATACCATTTGATTTCTGGGAAGGGAAGTCCAGTAACTTTGCCTTCAAGAATTCCAGTGCCACCTGAGAGATTGGGGGAATAATCATAAATATTTTTCAAATTATAGTTCATACCAACTCGGACAGTTATAGGACGTATTGGCTCAGTAAAATCAGGTGCCTCTCCATCAATAGGCAGACTACCCTCTGCAGCAACAATAATCGGGCCCTAATAAATAATTGCCCAGAATGTTCTGATTATTCTGATTTTTAAAATTCTACCTCAGTCCAAGCAGTCCCATATTCATTTTCAGCATCACAGCGATATTCACCAGTATCCTCCATTTCGGCATTTTTAATCGTTAAAATAATAGTTCCATCATCATGATATTCCATACTAATACGATCTGTTGCTGTCACAGGGCCATAGCCTTGTCTACTCCAAGTAATTGTAGGTCGAGGAAATCCTTTCACTTTACAACGAAGTACAACAGTTCCCCCTATCGTTGTTGTTGCAGATTTGAGAAGTTCAACAAATTCGGGTGGACCAGGTGCCATCTCGCCACCTTCAGCTGGCGCTAAAATTATTTTATTTAATAATGTTTGGGGGAAAAACAAAGAAATAATGTAAACTATCTATGTAATTCACCAATAACTCCAAGTCTAGCCTCGGTCCAAATTTGATTGCCATTAACATCTGTAGCAACACATCGATAAACGCCAATGTGATCAAATTGAGCACATTCAAAAATTAGCCGCTGAGTAAACCCATCTGGGCTTTGCTCAATTCGTAGAGCATATTGCAATAATTTATTAGCTAAAATTGCACCATCTTTGAGCCAGTCAAAGCTTTAAATTTAATAGGTTAACAATTTTGTGTTGGGAGAGAGAGAAATTACCGTATCCCTCTAGCCGCAGTAGGTGCCAATTCACACTCGAAAACGACGTTTGTTGTCCCTTTTTGAACTTGTTGATCTTGTAGTTGTCGACGCCAAGAAAGAAATGTTTCTTCCATGGGTTGTTCAATCGCAACTTGTTGGGCATATCGAAGAGGAGCACTTGTTTCAGCCTTTCCAACAGGATTGACGGCTTCACAACGATACGCCCCAACATCATCTTTTGTGGCATGAAGAATTCGCAAGCGCAAAGTGCCATCTGCAGATTGCTCCATTTGAATATTCGGGGAAGCTTGAGGGGAGATTTGTCGACCGTCATGGAACCATTGGATTTCTGGTTTTGATTCAGTTGCATTGACCTTATAATGAAATATCGGGATTTTCAAGCATTTTGATAAAGCTTACTTGACAACTCATCTCCACGGTTTCACCCTCTTTCACTGTTTGTGGCTCTAGTTTTCGTGTAAATATTGGTTGTACCTGTCCTTCCTTCATTGGTTCAACTACATGTTCTGTTGGGAATTTTAAAGGAGCACTCGTTTCATCCCTTCCAGCTTTATTAATAGCTTCACATTTATAAACCCCAGCATCTTCTTTTTGTGCATTTGAGATAGTTAAAGTGTGATGTCCTTTATCATTTTTTTTAGTAACAGCATGGACTCCATCCATATATATTGGTTCTCCATTGCGAGTCCAACGGACCTCAGGTTCTGGTTTTCCTTGTACTGTACACTCAAGATTGACGAGATTTTGTCCAGGTTCGACTGTAAGCTCTTTAAGTGGTTCTGTAAATCTTGGAGCTTCAACGTCTTCTATAACTCCGAATTTGGCTTGAGTCTCAGCTTGTCCTGCTTTATTCACTGCCTTACAAGTATAGGTTCCGGCATCAGCAAGATTTGCATCTTTTACTGTTAAGCTATGCTGGCCCTTCCCTTCATCCTTAACAATAGTGTGGACATTGTCAACTTGAACAGGCCATCCATCCTTGTTCCACTGAACTTCTGGTTCAGGCTTTCCAGTTACCTCAACTGACATCTTGGCTGTTTCTCCTTCTTTTACTTCAACAGGTTTAAGTCCATCAACAAATTTTGGAGCTTCCATTTCTTCTATAACTGCAAAGTTGGTTCGAGTTTCGGCAGAACCAGCCTTATTTGTTGCTCTACAACTGTATGTTCCTGCATCAGAATTTTTCGCATCCTTAATTATTAGTTCGTGCTTTCCATGTCCATCATCTGTAGCAACTACATGAATTCCGTCAACTTGAACAGGTTGCCCATCCTTAAACCATTGAACTTGTGATATTGGTTTGCCCTTTACTTCAACAGACATTTTGGCCGTTTCCCCTTCTTTTACTTCAACAGGGGTTAATCCTTTGGTAAATTCTGGCGCTTCTAGATCCTCTATAACCCCAAATTTAGCCTGTGTTTCAGCCATTCCAACTTTATTCGTTGCTTTGCATGAATAGGTTCCAGCATCTGCCGTATTGGCATCTTTTACTGTTAAGCTGTGTTGGCCCTTCCCTTCATCTTTAACAATAGTGTGGACATTATCAACCTGAATAGGCCATCCATCTTTGTTCCATTGAACTTCTGGTTCAGGCTTTCCGGTTACTTCAACTGACATTTTGGCTGTTTCTCCTTCTTTTACTTCAACAGGTTTAAGCCCATCAACAAATCTGGGTGCTTCCAATTCCTCAATAACAGCAAATTTTGCCTGTGATTCCGCTTCTCCAACTTTATTAGTTGCCTTACAAGTATAAGTTCCAGCATCATTATTTTTGGCATCTTTAATTATTAATTCGTGCTTTCCATTTCCATCATCTGTAGCGACTATATGAACACCATCAACATTAACGGGTTGTCCGTCTTTAAACCACTGAACTTTAGGTGCTGGTTTACTATCCACCTGGACAGACATTTTGGCAGTTTCACCTTCCTTTAATTCGATAGGTTTTAAGCCATCAACAAATTTGGGGGCCTCTAGTTGTTCTATTACTCCAAGCTGTGCTTGTGTTACGCATTGACCAGCCTTGTTTTTTGCTTGACAAGTATATGTACCGGCATCGCGAAGGATAGCATTTTGAACGGTCAAGCTGTGTTGATTATCTGAATCACGTCGGATTATGTGTTGTCCGTCAATTTCAACTGGAGATCCATCTTTGTACCTAAATTTGAATAAACTTTAATTAACAATCCCCAGATTTTTCCTACCAAAATATTTCTGGCGTAGGCACTCCACTAACCACCACAGACATTGTTGCTGAATCACCTTCACGTACTTCTACTTGTCGCAAACCTTCCGTAAATTTAGGGGTTTCCAACAATTCCTCCACAGTTACACGACTATCGGTTTTAGCTTGCCCAGCTTTATTTGTTGCTTGGCAACTGTAAAGTCCAGTATCGGAGATTAAAGCATCTTTTAGCTGAACAACATAATGTCCTCTTTGTTCATCAATCTCTTGTTGAACAATTCGTGTATCTAATTGAATCGTTTGACTATCTTTAAGCCATTGAATTTGTGGTGTTGGTCTTCCTTCTACAGTAACCGAAAATGTAACTGTTTCACTTTCACGAATTTGTACATCACGTAAAAGTTCTGTGAAAACAGGAGGGGCCAAATCCTCACGAACTGTTAGACGTCCACGTGTTTCAGCTTCCCCTGCTGGATTGACTGCCTTACACGTATAAAGCCCAGATTCTGAAGGTGTTGAAGTAGTAATAGTAACAGAATGTCGTTCTTGAATCTCATCTACTGTCTCACTAATAATTCTGATCCGTTGTCCATCATCATATACAGGCTTTCCGTCACAACTCCATTGAGCTTGCGGTTTTGGTTCGCCAGAAACTGTGCATGTTAAAACAACGGTTTCAGTCTCACGAATGGATACATCACGTAATGGCTGAGTAAATTCTGGTGCTTTTTGTAATTCTTCCTTTTTATCAACAGCTAATTGTGCATGGCTACTATCTTTACCAGCTTGATTGCTAATTTGAATCCCATAGTCTCCAGCGTCTTCCATACGCGCATCTTCTATAATAAGTTTAAACTCTCCACTATCTCTATATTCAACTAGTCGAACACGTTGATCTGCTGGTACCAGAGGTGTTCCATTTTTGAACCATTCAACTTCCAATGGCATTCCTGGCCGACCACCCGCTACTCGAACACCCATTTCTACTGTTTCACCCTCACGAACTCGAGAACGTTTTAATGGTTCAATAATTCGAGGGCGTTCCAAGCTAGTCTCTTGTTCAACAATTTTGGCTTCACATTGAACTTGTCCAATTTCATTTCGAGCAACTGCTCGATAAGTGCGGAAATCACCTTGCTGCATTTCTTTAATAACCATTCTCCATTGTATGTTTGTAGCATCATGTTGAATACTAACTCGAGTGCCAGTTTGAATGCGGAAATTGTCATGTGCTGAGTAAAATTCAACTGTTGGCTGTGGAATTCCCTTAACATGGCATTCTAAAACTGCTTGGCCACCCAATTGTGCTTGTAGATCAGTTAGGGGACGAGTAAATACGGGTGCCATTGCTGAAAATTTTCTATATTTTATCGGGTTTTATACTTGAATCTTTACTTTCAACACGTAGATTTGCTGAAGTTTCTGCCTTTCCTATCACATTTTCAGCAGTACAAGTATAACAAGCTTCATGGACTCTCTCCACACTTTCAATTATTAAACGCTGGATGCCCTTATCGCTTTCAGTGCGCACTCCAGGCAAAGAATCCAAAGGCTTTCCATCTTGAAGCCATCCAATTTGTGGCTCGGGTAATCCAGTAACTTTGCACTGAAATTATATTGAAAATCTAAGTATTTGATACACGTTTATTACCTCAAATGTAACCCTTTCTGTGAGGGGAACAGATTTGTCCTGTAATTTGATGCTAAAATCGGGGGGCATCTGGACAGGTTTGTCCATTGTTTCTGGAGAATAAATTATTTATATTAGTCATGCTTATTATCTACTTACCAACGACAGTCAATTCAGCTTCACATTGAGCCCTCCCCGCTTCATTCTCAACAATAACTGTATATTTCCCAGCATCTTCGGGTTCTACTGCATCAATAACCAACTCTGAGGTTGTAAATCCTTCAATTGTCTGAACTTGAACTCTGATTCTAGCGATTAACTCAATCTCCATTCCATCATGTAACCATTTACAACAAACACCTTTAGTGTCAGGCACAACACATTCAAATATTGCTTGATGTCCACGTTGGATTCTTGTATCCTTTATTTTTGTAATAAAGGCTGGTGCCATTATGGGGGTTGAAGTTCTCATGGTTTCCATCAAATCCTCTTCCAAACGTTCCTCAACTTGGGAACCGCTTTCTGATTCGGTGAACATATCGGAAGTATAGGTCTATAAGGAAAATAGGGATATTTTAGCAATAGAAGGTATTAGCTTACAGCCATATTTGCTGTACAGGATACTTCTCCGGCATCATTTTCAGCCTTACAAATAATTTCTCCAACATGCCTTTCGGGATTAAACGAACGTATCGTTAAGGTTGAAGTGTTCTCAGTTGTTGTAATAATTATCTCTTCAGTACTAGTAACAATTTCTTGATTGTTAATGAACCAACTAATAGCTGGGCGAGGTTCTCCCGTGTAAACGACTTTGTGGATGACCTAAAGAAAATTCAAAATTCTCCTTAAAAATGTGATAGCACCTCAGATCCTTGACGTGCCCGCACGTTGCTAAGCCACTCAATAAAATCAGGAGGTTCACCTCTTGGTAAAACTCTCAACGTTGCTTGTGAAGAGGCCTTTCCAAATTCATTAACGGCCTCACAAACAACGCTACCGGCATATTCTTGTGTAATATTTCGAATTAGAACGGTGTATGTTGTTCCAATTGTTGTAATTTTGCAGTTCTGGCTCTCCACTAATTTATTCCCATTAATAAACCAAGAAACTTCGGGCATTGGTTCTCCGAGTAGAACAGCCTTAAGTCTGAGCGTATCACCCTCACGACAGGTTGCGTCGCACAAACCAGTCTTCAAAAGAGGATTTTAGTTGGAAATAAATCAAATATTACTTCAAACTCCACGGGTACTGGAGCAACGACCACCAATTTTCCCTCAATAATAGCCTCTCCCATTTTATTACCAGCAACACAACGAATTGTGCCAGTCATATCACGTGTACACCCATGGATTTTAAGTGTGTAAACGCCTGATTCGTGTACCATTTCTGTATCTTCTGTTTGGTAGACCATTTGATTGTTGATGTACCTTTAGGGGTTAAATGAGGGGGAAATATTTTAAATATTCCCAATGTTCACCCACCATTTAGTGTAAGGTGTAGGGTCTCCACTTATGATCACCTTTGCATTTAGCCTGTTAATTATTTAATTTCCTTTAATTTTATTAAGTTTAAAATACGTATCGCCTTCTGTAACAGTAATAGGGCCCAGTTCAGAGAGAAATTGAGGCTTCCTTAAGGACTGACGTCTTTGAATACCAACATTGGCGGTACATTCTATGATTGAAATTTCATTTAAAAAATTTTCTTAACAGCTACCGCATTTGCCAAATTGGTTTTCTGCCTGTATAGTGATTCGGCCTTTGTCAGCCATTTCAATCCGTAAAATTCTGTATTTTAATTAAAATATCTTTCGTCTTATCATTATTTTCTTAGCCAAACTCACGTCATTCTGTAAACCCTATGGTCAATATCTCCTTCCTCAACAAGTTTAACCCGTTCACTAGATTGTAATTCAACACCATCCCGGAACCATTTAACTGTTGGTTCGGGTCTGACACCCGAGGCCAATTGGGCTTCTAAAACCAATGTTTGTTGATCATCCATAAGGCGATCCTTTAATGAATAAAAATATTTTTAATAAGATTACTAGTCTACTTCCAAATTTCGGGCAAATGTAGGGGGTACTCCAACTTCTTTAACAGTCAATTGTGAATTCTGACGCTTAGTTCCAGCAGAATTTTTTGCAATACATGCACACTCTCCTGCTTGTTCTTTTTTAACGTTAGTAATTTCGAGAATGTGATTATTGCCTTCTTTGGTTATTCGAATATTGCTTAACATATTTTTTTTATTTAAAATTTCCGAGTATTCACTTACTCCCCGTCACTCAACGGTTTCCCATTTAAAGTCCATTGCACCTCAGCTGGAGGCACAGTTTCTTCAATACGAACAATAAATTTTATATCTGCCCCTTCAGGGACTAGTTTATCATCCATATCTGTAAGAAAACGAGGCAGATCAGCCTTTGGTTGAACCAACAAATTTGCGAAAGCTTCAGTAGCCCCATGAATATTTTCAGCAAGAACGCGTATTTCACCAGTGTGTGTATCGGCGCGAGGGTGGAATATTCTGATTGAAGTTTTTCCAGTACTAGTGTCATGCCTTATTCGTAGTTGATCACTGGCAGTGAGAACTTGTCCTCTCAAGGACCTGTGGAATTTTATAATTGTTAATTGAAGAATGATATAAACTTACCAAGTCACAGTCGGAACAGGCTCTCCATGCACAATAGCACTAAATTTAACTGATTCTACATCATCATAAACATCATGATCCTGGGGTTGTCTACTAAAGTATGGAGGGCCAGGAACTCGTGCATGAACGTGGATATTAGCCTCGGATTGTACTCCATCCCCTTGTCCATCTTGAGTAGCTCGTAAGACAACTCTAGCTCCATTATGGGCAGAAATAGTTGTTCTTGGTATTCGAAGGGTGTGTTCAGTTTGGTCTCCAGTTTGACGACTGGTTATTTGAATATTCTCATCTCCTCCTTCAACTGGAGTACCATTGAGGAGCCAACGAATATTAGGTGTTGGAGTGCCAATGACTGATGCGCGAAACTCGGCAGTGTCATTCTCTATTACCTTTAATAGATATTTAGATTTGGAGGTTAAGATCAAATAACCGTTATATCTGTTAAGGGCTTCCGTATTTGTACTGGCACGTTAGCTGTTGAGCCTTGACCATTCTCAACTAATATTCTAACTTGTCCATTACTCTCAGACTTTCCATTCTCATTTTCTGCCTCGACTTTTAATTGTCCATTTTGGCCTATTTGAATATTTGGAATGATAAGTCGGCTACGACCAGGCGATTGTTCTATACGAATTCCTTCTTTTCCATCCTGATTTAATTTTTAAAATTATCAAAAAATCGGTCTTTAAACCTCAAGAGGGATATTATTCTTAAACCATTTAATTGTTTGTGCATCAGACACCTCAACCTCAGCAATTAGATTATCACAGGGGCGGCATTCTAAAACAGCTCCTTCAAGTCCTTTGGTAAATGTAGGCTTTAACCCGCCATAAAATTGAACTAAAATGAGGGGAAGGATTAGTGACGTTATCTCTCATTTAGAGTATATTCAGTTCACCTTCCATTGGTTCTCCTTCTGTCGCCAAAACCTTCTGATCACCAACAACAATAGTAACAGGAGGGATATTCTCAACTTTAGTTATCAAACTACTAGCTTCAGATTCTTCCTCACCCCCATCAAAACGACCTTTCTTTGTCGGCGGTCCTACAGTAACACTAAATTTGGAAGAGGTGGAAGTTTCGCCCTCAGTATTAACAGCAACACACTCAATAATGCCAGAATCCTCCAAACTGTTTTTAAGAAAAATTAAAGTTAAAATATCCCGTTTCTCAGATGCTCACCGGCATTTATTGAGTTCCAAACGTCCAATTCCTCCATCAGCCTGGCTCAAAATTATTCTCCCTTCTCTATCACCATTATTCAATTCAACCCCATTCAAGCGCCAAATAAATTTATTAACCAAAGATTCAGGATCAACACAAACTTCAAAAACAACAGAATCCCCTTCATTTTCTGTTTTATCAGTAAGTGGTTTGCGAAAAACAGGTGGTTGTTTTCGTCGTTCCGGGGGTAGAACAATTAATCTAGCTTTTGTTTCGAAACGTCCAATGGCATTCTCAGCTCTTTAATTTAGGGAATAGTGAATTAAAAATTGGGCCTACCTGCACAAAATAGTGCCAGCCCAATGTGTTGAATCTAAAGTAATTTTTTGTCCAGTTTTCTCTCCGGTAGATTCAATAGAAATTACTCCTTGAGTTTGAGCATCCAATTTATTGCCGTTGATGAACCAACTGAGAACAGGGAGAGGAGAACCACGGGCAATTGCTTCAAATATAGCGTGTTCACCGTGTTTAACTGTCTAAAATATAAGGTTCGTAGAGGTTTTCCAAGATAAAAGCTCGCCTGATCTTCAAGTTCCTTAACAAAAGTAGGAGCACTCCTGCTTTCTTCCTCCTCAGGTTCAACAGTTAATCTGGCACGACTTTCTGCCTGCCCGTGGTCGTTTTGCGCCCGGCAGAGCAACTCTCCATCGTGTGAGTCAATTTTACAATCAGGGATTGTGAGGCGATAATTGCCCTCAAGCTGTCGAATTTCTACTCCTCCAACTCCGTCAATTAAAGGACGGCCCTTTAGGAAGAATTCTACTTTCGGCTGAAAGGATAATAATTAGAATAAAAATATTTTCGAGGGAATAACCTCGGGATACCCAACAACATCCAATTCAAACATAACAGCTCCATTCTCAGTAATCATTCTATCCTCTAATGGGCGTTCAAAGTATGGAGGGAGAGGTGGTACTCGGACTCTCAGTCTTGCTTCACAACTGCTTGAACCAAGACGATTCTTTCCTTGACAAGTAACAGTCCCATCTTGATGGCGATTTACGTCTTTAACAGTTAATATACAAATGCCATCTTTACTTGGGTTTAATTACCCAAGTTTAAGAAAAAAGTTAAAAAACTTATGGAAATCGATAATTTAACATCAATGTCAACACCACTCACTACTTCGAATATTAACAACAAAAAATTAAAACTACATCAATTAAACAAAAAACTTTCTAATTTTTCCGAACAATTTTCTAACGACATGCCACCTTGGGCCTCAGCAATGCTTGAAATTGTAAATTCTGTAATGGAACTTTGTAAGGATATTCTTACAAATGAACCAGAACAACAAACAACAGAAACTAAATATCGATTTGGAGACCCTTTTTCCGCTAGCAACAAACAACATAATTCTTTAGAACAATCTCATTTGACCAATATCATAAACAACGCTATTTTGGACGCCGAAGAAATCAAGTCTAAATCAAAAAGAGTTGTTATTGAACGGGCTCCTGAAAATGTTGACATCACTTCTTTAGTTAAAAAAATTGCTTCAGATTGCGGAGTATCTTCTGATCTTTTGGAAAATGACATACATCGACATCCATCTCGTGAGTTATCAAATGTTGTAAATAAGAAACCAAGAATTGTCAAAATCCCATTTAACAATAAAAAATCTAGGGATATTTTTCTTTATAATTTTCGTAAATGTCTTAAGCAAAATCCATCTTTACCGCAGTTTTTAACTGCTAGACGTGATATGACTCGAAACGAATTAAATATTTTGTATAACTTGCGTAAGCAAGCATTTTCCATGAATCAGGTCGAGAACATGTTTAAGTACATTGTTGTCGATCTGTCAATCATTACACTTAAAAAACCACAACCGCTCAGGGCAACTAAAAATAAATAGGGGTACGCAGGCAAACCACAAACAAAAATAACAAACGGAAATATTTACTCATATAAATGTATATTATTCAATTCTCGGTCGCTTGCCAATAAAATACCAGATTTAAATTATTTGATTGAAAATTCTAACCCAGAGCTGATATTAATCAACGAAACGTGGCTCAAAACAGATAATATAATAAATTCTGAACTATCACATATGGGTAATTATGAAGTCATATTAGCTAATAGAATAGAAAAAAGAGGCGGAGGATCGGCAATCCTAGTAAAAAATAACATACCTTTTAAAATAATTTTCTCTGGCTCTAAATTCCAATCAGAGATTGTACATATAAAATTATTGCTTGAAAAAGAAATTAACATTATAAACATTTACCGACCACCAAATAGTTCAATTCTTAATACAAAAAAGTTATTTAAATTCCTTTTAAATCAAATCAACCAAAAAACTATATTATGTGGAGATTTTAACATTAGACACATAAACTGGTATTCTAACGAAATAATTGACAATTATGACAAGATCGCGAATATTTTCATAGAGTTTATAGGTCAGAATCAATTAAAACAACTTGTTACTGAACCAACTAGGGAAAATTCAATCCTGGACCTAGTACTTACATCTGATTCCGGTATTGTTAGAACTATTAAAGTTAGGGAGAATTTTTCAACTTCCGATCACAAAATGATAGAGTTTGAGCTTAATTATCGTGTTAAAGTAATTAGGAAGCCCAAGAGTTACGTAAGAGATTTTAGTAAATCAATTTTATTAATCTAAATCAAGTCATATTTCGAAATAATTTAGATCTAGGTATATCAACGAAATTCACAGTGGAAGATAAATACATTTATTTAACAAAAGAACTTCTATGTCTTTATAACAAATATATACCAATGAGAGCACTAAATAAGATAATAAGAAAAGCATACCCTCAAAGAATTAAGGAATTACACAAAGAAAAGCTTATATTATTTAGGTTACTTAAAGAAAGAATATATGATAACAATTTAAGAGTTAAGTATAAAATCGTCTCAAGAAACCTAAAAAAGCAATTAAAAATTCATCATAACACAAATGAAGAAAAAATAATCAATAAAGGTGGAAATTCGATACATAAGTATATTAGAAACAGACTTACGCAAGATAATAATATTCCCTGTCTAATTGATAAAGAAAACAAATTTTACTTCAGCGATGAAGAAAAATGTAATATTTTGGGAAAAGGGTTTCAAAAGAATTTTCAAAAAAGAAGCATTAATCTCTCAGATAGCGATGGAAATATAATTCCAGAATCAAAGTTTACAGACATAGATTTAAGTACTAGTATTGTGTGGGATACCCTCAGATCACTTCCTAGTAAAAATTCTACTTCTCCAGACAATATACCTTATATATTACTTAAATATTGCGCTGACTCACTTGCAAAAATAATCACAGATACCTTTAGAATTATTATTGATAATGGGCAAATTCCATCAATTTGGAAATCGTCACTTATTATACCTCTATATAAAAAAGGGGAAAAATCAGATCCAAACAATTATCGTCCAATATCGTTAACATGCACCCTGTGTAGGATTTTAGAAAGAATTATCGCAAAACAATTAGTAAAATACTTAGAAGATAATAAGTTCTTTAATCAAAATCAGTTTGGGTTTCTTAAATCAAGATCCACAACAACACAGTTATTATCCACAATGAATGATCTATATAATGCAATACAAGATGGATATAGTATAGATATCATATACATTGACTTTGCTAAGGCATTTGACACTGTACCGATAAATATTCTTCTAGATAAGATAGTAAAAGCAGGCATTAGTGGAAAAGTCTATACATTTCTTAAAAATTTTCTATCTGATAGAAATTTCAAGATTAAGATTGGTGACCAAATATCTTGCGAATATGAAACATTCTCAGGTGTACCTCAAGGTAGTGTCTTAGGACCTCTTCTATTTCTTATTTTTATAAATGATCTTCCGAATCAAATCCCTGAAAACATTGGAATAAAATTATATGCAGACGACGTAAAACTATATGTAGCTCATAGAAATGGCATAGAAAGGGATGAACTTAATAAAGCTTTATGGAAACTTGAAAAATGGACAGAGTTAAATGGTTTAGAAATATCTCCTCATAAGTGCTTTGCCTTATATCTAGGGAAAAATAACCTGAAAAGAGAGTATAACATTCATGGATTAAAAATACAAGAAACAGAATGCATTCGCGATCTTGGAGTTTTAATTGATTCTAAAATATCTTTTAATAACCATATAAATATGGTTATAAAAAATGCATATCTAAAAAGTTTCCAAATAACAAGAATCATTAAGTCTAGAGACTTAAATCTTCTTGTTAATATTTATAAAACTTATATAAGACCCCAGCTAGAATATGCAACTGAAGTGTGGAATCCACACATGAAATATCAAATAGATAAAATCGAAAGAATTCAAAAACTATTCACTAAGAATATTTACAAAAAATGTGGATTAATCAAGGTCCCATATGAAGAAAGATTAAATACTTGCAAACTTGAAAAGTTAATAGATAGAAGAAAGATTGCCGATCTTTCCACTGCTTTTAAAATTATAAAAGGGTTTACATCTCTTAATTCCCAAAATTATTTTAATTTTTCAAATAGATCACTTCGCAGGCCTCTACTTCTAAGGATTAAAAAACACACGAACAGAACAAAAAATAATTTTTTTCATAGGGTGGTAAATAAATGGAATAATCTTCCAAATGAATCATTTAAAATAAATGATCCCAAAAAATTTAGAAGTTTTATTAAATTATCACAATCTAAATAAAATTTTTGGAAAAATTAACCTTGAGCGTTATTGTGTTTTTTTTTTATGTGTAATATTAAATTCATTTATTTTTATTGTTCATTTTTAAAGTTATTTTTATTTTTGATGTTGTTTCCTACATATATATATTTTTTTTTTTGACATTAATTTATTTTTTATGTTTTTTTTTTGCACCACATTAATGTATTTTAAAATACCTGTGGTTTGCTGATAAATAAATAAATAAATAAATCTTCGCTGATGAATTGAATCTTAAGGAAAGGGAGGTGAATATTGTTAATAAACTTTTCTAGATACCTTTTCTGATTGAGTAAGTGGAATTCCATTAATGTACCAGATCACCTCGGGGTTCGGATCACCAGTAAGAATTGCTTTAAACTTCAAAGTATCCCCTTCATTACAGTCTGCATCTTCGAGGACAGCCTTTAAATTTATTAGAAATGAGACAGAGGATCTTGATCCTAATAAGGAAACTGACTTGAAATTCTGGAGAAACATGGTTTCTATCTGGATCTGACTGAACCTCCAGCCGACACCGTGTTTCTGCCACACCATAATCATTTGTAATGCGTACTGTATATGTGCCAGTATCATCCGGTTGAGCGTCTCGGATTTGTAATGTTCCTCGTTGCCCGTCATACTGAATTCGGAAATCGTGGGAGGGCCTTAATGGCTGTCCATCCATTAGCCAAAGAAGTTCAGGTTCAGGCCAACCACTAACTTGACATTCAAAATCAACAACATCCCCCTCTTTACAACTCATATCTGATGGTTCCAACATTTTAACAAAATCAGGAGATGCTGATTCTTTTTCTACTTTTAAAACTCGAAAGAAAGCTGAAGTGCTAGCTTGTCCATATTCATTAGTAGCTACACAAGTATATCTTCCAGTATCCCCTGTTTGAACTGGATCTATTGTTAAAGCGAAGAATCCATCTTCATCGGCATAAAATGTATGGCGGTCGTCTTCTCGAACCAAAACATTGTCTTTGTACCTAAAATTTTTTTGGAAAAACATATTTTTGGGGCAGTTCCTGAAACTTGCCATGTAATATCTGGCAAGGGATATCCAGTCACTTTCAGGCACATTTTAGCAGAAGATTCTTGTAATGTACGAAATCCATATTGAGTACGTGTGACTTTGGTTCCTTGCATTTCCAAAGCTGTACCTGTTGTTTGCCATTCAAGTTGGCTACTTCCCCCACTGTATAATGATGTAGATGAACCAGTTGGAGAGATGACTGGAGGTGATTTTACTTTACGGCGTGGGGGACCTTCCTCTGGACCTTTAAAGTAATTTATACAAAATTTGGGAGGATTTTATTTATTCTTACACCAAGAGGGGTCAACTAGCTCGATGCCGCCTTCTTCAGCCTCCATCAATTCAATCACGTACATGACTCGAAGAACCATTTTTGTTGTTTAGTGTTATTTAATAATGTAAATTTATTATTTCAGTGTTTTAGGAGACGCTTCGAGCGTCCGGATTTAGTGGAATTTTTTTGGATTTTTAATGTAAATGGGGCGCGGAGCCTAAAATAAGTTGAGTAAATTTTTAATTTTGATCAATAGCGATAAATAATTTAAACTTTAAAAGAAATATTACCCTCGAAAATAAATAAAAATGTCTCTAAAACCACCCATAACTCTCTAAAACCACCCATGATTACGTAAAATATATCCTTTATCCCACCAACGCAAACAAATCGCGTAAACAATTCACCAGTCGGGTCAGAGGGAGAGACCCCAAAATGTACAAAAAAAATGTTGGAAACGAAGCAAATGTTAAAAACAATTGTTTGAATGTGGTAAAGAATTTCATGAAAATTCCAAGGAAAATTTTTTAGTTTTGCAGCAGATCAGTTAAAATAGCAATACGAAAAAGATCAAACGATCTCCAATAGAGGAAGAGAATAGAAGAGACGGAGGAGGGCTTAGAGAGCTCTTTTAAAGTGATCTCCTTAGGTGATCTTATGTGTCAATCAACGTACCAGCCTTGAAATTAAAACTTAGCGGCTGTTAACCAACAAATAAATAAACATTAAAGTTGGTCAATAAAAGTTAGAGAAATGAAAGTATTTAATTTAGAAGCTTAATGGGGGAGATCAAGTTTGCTAAAAAATCGACATAAAAGTAACAATTGTTTACCAGCCGGAAGCTGTAAAAAGTTAATCACTTAAGAAATTTAGTCGATAGCTGGAAGAGAAGGAATCGATTGGAATAAGCTTAGCTAAAGCAAGCAGCTTTTCCAACATGCTTGAAAAGAATGCGTGTGGGAGAGATTGGCCTGGGAGGAAGATGAGCTGATCTTAAGCTATGCTTTTACTTAATATAAACAAAAAAATTTACAATTTACAATAAAATGAAATTTACAACAAATAAACTTACAAATTAGGGTTGTTCACCACCAGAAATTAAGCGGTACCTTCGTTTTCAAGTTATATTCGGTTCTAGTTTTCAATAAACCCTCGGTTTTTGGTTCAGTTAACCGGTCGCGAACATCCCTATTACAAACTTTGAAACTAGTTTACAAACTTAGATTTACTAAAATATGTTCTGCAGAAAATGTTTTGTCTCATTTTGCCTGAAACTTGATTAAAACATGTTTCTATTTGTTTCTCTTAAATAAAGCTATGAACAAAACGTGCTCCAAAACATGCTTCAAACACATTTATTAAGTTTGTAACTTTGTTGTAAAATAAGTAAAAACATTAATGTTTTGAAAATATTTGAGCTGAGGGATATAAACATTCTTACCAACATAGAAAAAATATTAATAAATATGCGGCTGTTGCAACATCTGTTGAGAAGTTTGCAGCTTTATGTTAGCTTTTTGGGTATTTTATAAAAACGATTGTGTTAAGTTTTAATAAAAAAGAATGTTTACAAATAATAAAAATATTATCATTTTTAATATTTATTTATTATAATTTTTAAAAAATGGTAATGGATGTAGTAAAGTTTTGGGGACAATATCAGAGATCGAGTTGGATCTGGACCAAGGCCTAGGTTTTTCCTGTATCCAGAGTCCAGGCCCAATGATTTTTTGATCTTCCTGGTTCCTTGGCCTGGGCTTTTCCAGAACTACATGCCCAGGATCCGGTCCAGGTCAATAAATCAACCTCAAGTCCAAGAACAGGCCCAGGCTTTTCAAAAATCTCGATCTCTAGACAATATGTTTAAAAAATATAGGGGAATTTTTATTTCTTTTTCAAAATAATATATACAATATATTTTTGAATTTATATACAATAAAGTTCTACATAATTGTAGTATACTCAAATTATTATTTTAATCAGCCTTTTATTAGAGAGCTAGAAGAACCCTCTTGGTATATTTACATAAATATCCTTCTCCCTCTCAAAAATCTCCTACCCACCAAAAGCCCTCTGCATTGAGCAAATATCGTTGATCCAAACACGACGTACAATCTCTGATTCCTCAGCATTATCTCGACGAATTCGAAGCAAATAAGTAGGCAAATTTTTGTTTGAATCGTTTGGTGCTACAACAAGAGTTGAAGCTTCTGTTGAGTGCTGTCTGACGGCACTGTACTCGTTCAACTTTAATGAAAGGATAAAATTTTTCAAAAATGAGCAGAAATTTTACATTAATAGTAGCATAATGCTTAAACAATATCTCTCCATTAGTTTCTTCCTTATCCGTAATTAGCATTGTATTATTAAGTAAGAATACATGTTTATCGCCACAATCCTTATTATTTTCACCATCCTCCCAAACTTGGAATAATTCCTAAACTTCATTTAATTTACTGTATTTCTTCTAATGGAATGCCCCTCTTCAGCTTAATGCCATTTTATAGGGTACATGCTCTTTGGAAGGTGATTTAAAAATAGCCTCTTCATCTGAATACCCTCTTCTAGAGATCGAGCTGGGTCTGGACAAAGGTCTGGATTTTTCCTGTACCCAGATTCCAGGCCCAAGCATTTTTTGACCTTCCTAGGTTTTTTCTGAACAACAGGCTCCAGGATCCGGTCCAGGTCAATAGATCAAACCCAGAGTCCAGGAGCAGGCCCAGGCTTTTCAAAAATCTCAATCTCTAGCTCTCTCTAATAGAATTCCACTCTGGAAGGTGGTTGAAAATAGAATGCCGGGCATTCAACCAGAGGAAATACAATAAAATAAATTTTTAAACTCCTTTACGTTTCTATAAACACGTCCAATATCGCCCGAATACCCAACTATATTTTTGGTAAAATCGGGCTCCTTAGCTCGTTGTTCCAATAATTGAATAAAATTTAAGAATGACTTCATTTCGTCAGTACAATTTTGATTTTTATTAATTAATTCCTTTAAATTAAGTATTAAACATAGTCCGTCAATAAATCTTTTTCACCTTAAAGAAATCTTCATAATATCTCATCCTGGTAGGGATTAACAGTAAATAATCGGCATATGGTTTTAAATTGGTTTGCTTAGATCGGATGTCCTCCAAAAATTTATTAATATTATCAACATGTTGGCATAATCTTAGAGCATTATCCAATTCCCTCATGAAATTTAGATGGATTTCTTCAAAATTTTTAGATAAGGAATTGAAATTTTTGGCAAAAATGGCTGGATCATCAGAAGATTCTTTAATTGAGTTGAGGAGTTTGCTGAATTAAGAAGAGGATTTATCAGAATCTATCGTTAATGTGATAATTAGAGTAGCAAAAGGTCGAGACATCTCCGTTGTCCTCGGCTTTTCTAGCCACGGTGATCCTCGGTCTCGGTTTTTCACAAAACCTCGACCTCGTTCTACTCTAGTGATAATTATGGGTTGTCGGTTAGGAACAGAACCGAAGAACGGATGATATTTCCGTTGGGCTCTTTGGTTCGATTCCGGATAGACTCAGATTTTCAAAGAACCGACAACCTTACTAATGATAATTAATTAGGTATAAAATATATTTGAGAAAAAATTTCCAAAAATCTCACCTTGAATGAAAATCATGTAGAGACTCCAAGTTTGATGCCAGTAATTCTTTACTCCTCTCCTTTACTGCTTGAGGAGCCTCTGGTGCTTCACCTCCTTCATTATCTTCCAACCCTTTACCATAATAATCCAAAGCCAATTTTAATTCTTCAATAAATTCTTCCTCGGTCTTCAACAATTTAGCTACGCTACACCCTTCTCGTTGTAATGCATAATATTTGGTAGGGGATGTAAAATAAGAGCCAGGAACAAATCCGATAGAAGGAGGCTTGGTCTAAAAAATTATTTTTTGTCCAGAAATTTTTTTGTTTAAAAATTCTTTCAATTCTACCTTTGTTCTAACCAGCCAAGCATCTGGATTGGCATTATCCAGCACCTCAACACACTGTCCCTCATCCAACCCAAAAGGTTCGTCTTCATCCCCCTCTTCCTCATCTGCCAAATAATCACTCAAAGTAATCACTATCTGATAAGTACGAGGAACACTTTCAACTTTATTATCATTATTATCATTTTGTTTTGGATTTGAGGTGGTTGATTTAGTCAGTTCACTTTTTTCTTGAATTTTATTAGTTGGGGTTGTTCCATTAGAAGCTGTTGTTGCCGGTTTTTTAACAATTTTCTTTTTAATTATTTTTGTTTTTGGTTTGGTAGTTTCTGATGCTTTTTCCTCTTCAGACTTTTTCAAGCTCTCCTCAGGTTTGCTACTTGCACTGCTTCCGTTCTCAGTCTTTATTAAACCTTCATCAGTTTTACTGCTCGTTTTACTACTTGAACTGATACTGTTCTCACTGCTACTGATACCATTTGTGGATGTTTTTAACGTTGTTTTAGTAACGGGGCGAATATGGGGAGAGGACTTGTATTTTTCCTCTTCAGCTCCGAAGCGTCTTAAAATTATTTTTGGAAATTTTATTTTATTAAAACTTGAAAGGGACCTGTTTGGTCGTACGAGAGTAAAGATGATATCTCCTTTCTCGATATAAGTTAGATTCGCAAAAATCTCGAAAACTAAAAAATTTTGTGCCCTTGCTTCCTATTCACTCTATTTTCCCTTTGGAGGAGAAAGTCTGACCTAATGTACGAATTAAGGAAAACTGTGACAAAACTAGGGATGGAGGGGGGGGTATATCCAGGAAGTACTGAGAGTCGTATGAGATATCTCAAAAAATCTCGATTCTCAAAACTGAGATAACCGAGATCTCAACTAGATCCGATCTCTAATTAAAAAAACTAATTCAAATTATAAAAAAATATTTTTTACTTTAAATTTTCAACTTTTCTTTCAATCTGTCGCTGCTTACGTGAGATCTTGTCCATTATAAATTCTATACAAAACCTAAATAAATTAATAAAAATAACGAAAAAAATTTAAAAACAAAAAAATGAGCTTTTCTAATAATTTTACTTCATCTTTAAAGCTTTAACACATTTTTTAAGCTTTAACACATTTTTAAGCTTTAACACATTTGGGCAAAAAATAGACATAAATTGGGAACATATGGGGGTGTAACAAGGAAATAGTTGACAAATAAATTATTAAAATAATTTTAAAAATTTAGAATCATCAAAAATAGGAGGACTTAAAGAGTAATTTGTCATTTACGTCAAAAGCCGACTTATGTCCTCAAATAGCCTTAGGGCATGGATCAATTTCCTCAGAGAGGGATCGCGTTGATTCTAGCTTAGGGGATTTTATTTAAAAAATTTTATTTATCGATGCTTCCTGTTAATCTCTATTTAATTTTAAATATAAATTTGTGTTCGTGAATGCATGTGTTCAAAAATATTTAATTTAATCACAACAGATGTTCCATGTATTTTTGACCTCTTTTTTGATTTTTAATATGACACCTGTTGTTAACACAGGAAAGGAACTAGTGTTATGAATCTTTATATTTAGATTTATTTAATTTAATAATTTAATTACAAGAAGTTAAGAATAGTCTTTAAATTATTGTTGGGCGGGGATTTTTAAGTTTTTTCTTAAATAAATTTTCCTAATGGATATTTCTTCGGCGACGTCTTCTACATCCATATCCTGTGCCTAATTTAAAGAAAATTATTAAAAATTAATTTTTAAAAATTTTATTCTCACAGCCTGTACAAGTAGGGCAACACCTACAGCAACAAGAAGGCCGTACACAAATATTTAATCCACAACCACAGCAACAGGGGCGGCCTGAAAAAAGGATTTTTTTAATTTTTTGAGCTAATGAAAGGAGTTATAGAGAATTTTTTAAAATAAATTTTAAGCAAAAACCCACAGCAACAACAACCTCCTCCACCACCACAACAGCCGCAACAACAAGGCTGGCCTAATTAATAATTTTAATAAACACCTAAAAATAGGATAGCTTACAGCAACAGCAGCACGGCTGGCAGCAACAACAACAATTACGCCTTGCCCTTTTAATGTCAAACAAAGCAGAATTATTGTCTACAGAAGCTTGAATGGGGCAAGGATTTGTAGGGACGCAACCAAGTTCTGGAGGGACCGGCATTATTGGTGAAAGGGCTGGAATGTTTTTAAGCTATTTTAAAGTCTTGTAAGATACCCAAGAGGGCTGCGGGGAGTTTTAAACTTCTCCCAGTTTGTTGAGGAGGAAAACAGGTTGATTGGCAATTTGGCAGGGCCATTAATTGTTTGCCTATATTTTGTGAAGCGATAAGAAAACCACTAGAAGGTTGGGGTGTTTGACTGAGCTGAACAATTTGAACAGGGAATGCTCTTCCAAATCCATGGAAAAATTCAATTTTGTAAAGAAAAATGAGCAGGATTTGGATAAATTTGAATGAAAAATATGTTGAGGACATTATTTTTTTGAGAGAAATTTTTCTGAAATTTTTTTCTGATTTTTAGAAAGGAGAGAAATTATTTAAATAATTAAAAAGTGTGTCATTAATATTGGTTGTCAAACATTTTTAAATAGAAAATTTTATTTAGAATCCCTCTTTGTGTGCTTATTAATTGTTTTAATTTCTGCGCACCAAAATTTGTTTTTGTTTATTGTTAATAGAAGAAAGAGAATTTACAAAAAAATACAAAAGTCTTTATAATAAAAAAAGTAAATTATTAGGACAATTGTTGTTTTTGTTTCTAAACATCGATAAAAAATATTTTTATTAATCCAGATATATTAGAATCACAAATTTTAAATATAAATGATGCGAATTTCTTGATTATCTCTCTAGGGAATTCCTCGGTGTTGTTTGGAAAGAATTATCAAAGAGTTAGAATAATGGAAATAATTATCAAGTGTTATGTTTTCATATGTCTTACTCGAAGTTGTCTAGTACGATAAATCCAAATCTGATTAGGATGATCACTAGCTCATTCGAAAGAGCATCGTTTACTGTATTAAAACGTATAGTTGTTCAGCTCTCTTCCAGCTCGAAGCCTACTCAAAAGTTGCTATAGATGAACTAAATAAGGGATACTAGTGTGGGCTCACTCAATGTAAAATATCCTCACTAAATTCTTAAGCAATCTGAGAATAATACATGTCACTCGAAAGATCACCATTTACTGTATCTAAAACCGTTGTGCAGAAGTACGACTTACTCATTGTCAGAAGTTGTAATGCCTAAGGTAGACAAGGGGTATTGTTTAGTGATTACCCACTCAAAATGCCACTTAAGTTCTTTGGCCCACTCAAGATTTTTGGCAACGAAAGGTGCCAGATGACATTCGAAAGAGGATTAGAAAATGTATAAAAAATCTTAGGTCATGTTGCTTTGAAATTTTCAATCGAATTTTAAAAATTTTAATTCAAAATTTTATCACAATAGGAATATTTAAATTGTACATATGTATTTTATAATTTATTTAATAATTTAAAAAATATAAAAATATTTTATTCAATTCTTTAAAAATATTTCATTGTCCTTTCATCTTCATTAAAATTGGAGGTGTTGGAAGAACATCTTCATTGTAGTCTACCATCTTCATTGTTGTAGCATTGCAACCATTGCGTCGATGGCGTTTACAACCGCAACAGTCTTAAGTAATAAAAAATTTTTTAAAAAATTTTTTTCAAAAGACTTACTGCAGCAACAACAAGGCCTGCAACAGCAGCAGCAACATGGTCTGCAACAACAGCAACAAGGCCTGCAGCAACAACAACAGCAAGGTTTGCAACAGCAACAGCAGCACGGTTTACAACAACAGTGTAATGTTGCTGGGGTGGGGGTTGTTGGGAAAGGAAGGGAACGGTTCGACGGCAGCTCCGGTTGTCCTAGTCCATGGAAGAACTAGGGCCGGAGCCCCGGATGGTTTACCCCTAAGTTAAATTATAAAATTTAAAGTAAATTCAAAATAAAATTTATTTAATTAAAAAATAAAAAGACAAATATATGTGTGAGGAATGGGGGAGAAGGGAAATTAAGTGATTGGAATTAAAAGTGAAAAATATATGGGGAGATGGTGTGGAAATAAAATGTTCGGCTGGCAATTAAAAGGCCACGCCTTATACCGTTACATGCCTCATTCTTTTTTAAATGCCGACCCCGGCATTAAAGTTTAAATTTTGAGAGGGGTATGAAAATATTATTTTTTTTTGAAAATTTAGTTTTTGAGGGGTTTGAAAAATATGAAATTTATTTTTTTAAGGGGGGATATGAAAATATATTTTTTTTTTTAAATTTTTAAGTGGGAGAGGGGGTAGAAGGAATAATAAAAAATATTTTTTAAGGGGGGATGTATATGTTTAAAAATTATATATTTTTTTATTAATGCGGCCGGCAAAAAAAAAGAATGACGACATATATGGTAAAAATTGGTAAAAATTGTGGTAAAAATTGTTTAAAAAAACATTTAAAAAAATGTGATTATTTAACTTAAATGTGGTAAAATATCTTTATTTTAAATAATTAAAGCTTACTTAATTTAAGAAAATCTTATTATTATTATTTTTTAATCCTAACAAAAAATTTCTTTTTATTTTTAATTTTAACTTGTTTTCTTCTTCATCATATTCTTCTTTTTCTCTCAATAATGGGATCCAGCATGTCGGTAGCGGTCCTGTTGTTTAAAATATGGTTCATAGAAGCGTACTCCACGTTGTCCACGATAATTTCCTCTTCCTCCACCACCTCGATATTGTTGATAGTTTCCCCGTCCATGATAATTTTGTTGTTGTATTGGCACTTCTGCTGCTGATGATGAAGCCTCCTCTGATGTATTATCTTCTTCCTTCTTTTCCGCAATTAATAATATAGCCTCTTTGATGTTTTCCAAACTTTCCTTCAATTCAAGAACACAATTTCCCTTACACTTTTTCTCTTCCTTCTTCTTTATTACTGGTTGTTTTTCTTCATTTTGTTTTTCAACAACTTCATTATTTTTGTTATTTTCAGACATTTTTAAATAATTTTAATAAATTGAAGGCTTTATGAAATTCTAAATTATAAAATAGTTATAAATTATTATAATGGTTAAAATATAATACTTATTATAAAAATATTATAAATTTAAAATGAATTTAAATGTTATTAAAACGTTATTAAATGTTAAAAAAATGGTAAAAAATGTAAACTAAATAAAATATTAAAAGAAAATTTTTATTTATTATATAAATATTTTATTTTGTAAATACGAAGAAATGTTATATATCTGTTTCTGACTCCTCTCTTTCAATATTTTTATCTTTATATATAATCTTTTCATTTGGCCTTTCATTTAGTATTCTTAATTCAAGTGGCAATTTATTATTATAGTGTTTAACTTTATCTAAATGTGTTTCAATTAACTTTGATTCATTTTCTTTCAATGTCACATTTGGTTTATTTATTGATATTATTTGGAAGGGACCGTCATATTTTTTCGAAAATTTATGAGTTGGAACTTCAACTTTTTTCATTACATAATCTCCTATTTTGAAATTTGAGGGATTGCTTTTAAATCAAAATTATCTTTTTGTTTTTCTTGTGCTTTTTCGATATTTATTTTTGTTTGTTTCCATATATTATTTAATTTATCTGTTAAATTTTCTTGAAAAAGTGTAATATCTGTATTATTATGATCGTTCTCTCCAATTTCTAATACTCTATCTATTGGTAATTTCATTTCTCTTCCATATAATATATAAAAAGGGCTATATTGTGTACTTTCCTGTTTAGATGAATTATATGCCATAGTGGCTAATTGTAAATATTCTTGCCAATTTCTACCTTCCTTATCTACATAATGGGATAAAATAGATTTTATAATTATAAGATCTTTCTACTTGCCCGTTAGCACTTTGATGATAACTTACTGTAAATATTTGTTCAAATCCGAATATTTTAGATATATCTTTCATAATTTGTGAAGTAAAATTTCGTCCTTGATCACTAGTAATATATTTAGGTACGCCATATTTAGTTATTATTTGATCTATTATTATTCTCATAATTGATGGAGCCGTTTGATCTTTTAACGGGCAACATATTAAATATTTAGAAAAGCTGTCGATAATTGATAGTATATATTTAGAACCTTTAGTACTTGTTATTAATGGACCTATAACGTCCATATGTAAGTGTTCAAACGGAATACTAGGTTTTTTAATAGGATATAATTCTTCATGATTTGGATGAAAAGCGTCTTTTACTTTCTGACATGATTCACAGGATATAATATAATTTTTAATATCTTTATTCATATTTGGCCAATAAAATCTTAATTTCATTTTTTGTAATGTTTTATTAATTCCTAAATGGCCGCCTTCTCCTGGATTATCATGTATAATTTTAAGTATATTTTCTCTCATAATATATGGTATTACAAGTCTTGCGACTCCTTTTAAGTCAATAAAATGTAAAGCTCCGTTTATTATTGAATAACTTTTAATTAATTCTTGTAATAGCTCTTTTTCTGATTTATTTTGTGGAAAATATCCATTTAAGGCGTTTATAATTTTTCTTAATTCTGGGCACATTTTTTGTAGTTTAATTGTTTTAGATATTGAAATTTGTTTATTAATATTAGTATTTAAGTTATTATTAGATTGTTCTTCGTCACTTTCCGAGCTAGATAAATAATTTGCTTTTGCTTGTGATCTTGTTACTACATTAATATTTCGACTTAAATAATCAGCGAATTTATTAGTTTTACCGGATCTATGTATTATTTTTACATCGTAAGCTTGTATAGATAATTGAAATCTAGCTAATCTACCAGTTAAGTCTTTTCTTGTTAAAATAGAACATATTGGACTGTTATCTGTTTTAATTATTGTCGTGCCTGTACCGATTATATAAATTGAAAATTCTTTTAGAGCTTGATTAATAGCTAATGCTTCTAATTCATTAATATGATAACGTTTTTCTGTGTCTTTAAGTGTTCTGGAATAGTATGCTACAGGGTGTTTATTTTGAATTAATACGGCACCTATGCCTTTTAATGATGCGTCTGTTTCTATTATATAACTTTCTTTAGGATTAGGTGGCGCCAATACTGGCGGACTTTTTAATTTTTCTTTTATTTCGTTAAATGAATTCCATTCTTCTTCATTCCATTCTTTAGATGTTTTAAATTTATTATCTTTAGTTAATTCATATAATGGGCCGAGAATTTTAGCACAAGATGGTATAAATTTTCTAAAATAATTGACTGCTCCCAAAAATGCTCTTAATTCGTGTAAATTATTTGGAGGTTTTATTTTATTTATACATTCTAAGTCTTTTGGGTCTGGTCTGATTCCATTTTCTGATATAAAAAATCCCAAATATTTAATTTCTGCTAATCCAAATTCACATTTCTCTAGTTTCAATCTCATACCAAAATTAGATATTACATTAAGAAATTGTTCTATATCATTTAAATGTTCTAATTC